TGTGACGTCTGCCTTTGGGTTTTCCTGTTTGGGTCTTCTTGTTTTTTTGGTCGCTTTTCCTTGTAGATGCTGGTTTAAGCCTAAGAAACATCCACACTGTAATCTCAGTTTTGTTATTGGAGTAAATCTCATCAACTAAAGGTAGGATTTGAAAGAAACCTTCTAAATAGTGCTTTAACTGAGGGTAAACTCCTGCCTCGGCCCACCCACACAGGCTTGTTTAAGTAATCTGACTGAGTCAACACCTACAGGTGATCATTCACCCTCGGTTCATTCTATCCCCTTCTGTCCCAGCTCTGCCTTGCACCTCTTTGATCAGGCTAATTGGGGCTAAGTTTAAACCAATCTTTTCAGGAAACTGAATTAAACACTTGATAGTGGGGTTTTTTTTTTCTCTCTCTCTCTCTCTCTCCAGTTTCACCCCAAAGAAATCTAGGAGCATGACTGAGAAGAGAATCTATTCCATCCATCTCTTCAGGCTAACATTTTAATGCAGCGGCAGGAGAAAATATTTCCTCTATGAGAGATTTGCTAACATGACAAATCCATTGTGTGTGACTGGTTTGAGCTCAGTCCAAATCAGCTAAAGACCAGGGCTTTCATTAATTCAGGCATCGTCGAATCCATCATCACTCTTTAAACATCCCTGATGCTCTCAGGAGTTGTGTGTGTGTGTCGCTTTTACATATTTTACAGTCTGGTGCCATTTAGTAATACTTAGCAATGAGGAGAAATCATTTTCTAAAGCAGCAGAGACTGATAGCATCACAAGTATTCCAACCACACCACTCAAAGATGAGTCAAAAATCCAGCAATTTTGCAAAGCTCAAGGCTATGTCAAGAGTTGCAGAACACTGACATTTTTAAAATATTAAAATTGCAAACACAAGTGCGCCAGTGATAAAGGTTGTTAAGTGAAATTTCTCTGCCGTTAAGGTAGGGAACCGATCAAGACTGAGCTATGCACAACAGCAACTTAGGCACATGAAGCTTCAGTAAGCAAAAATACGTACATGACATTTTAAAGAACAGTATTTATGCCCACTGACATGACATTTTTGCTTTTTCATGCAACACGTGATCTTAAAAGCAACCAAAAAAAGAAACAGCACCTCGAAATAGTTCACTTAAAAGTGACTCATAAGTTTTTTTTGCAAGATTATGTAAAAAAAAAAAAGCTGCAGGAAATAGTTTTTGACACCACAGTGATAGGTGTGCAAGTGAGAGACATTTTTGAAATCACATGATAGTCTAGGTTGGAGTTATCATTCTCAGATTTTCTGTCTGTGAGTACTGTGGATGGAAAAGTGGCTGTAGGAATTTAAACTATTCTGCAACCAATCGCTAATGTGACACTACTGAATTTCACCTATTTTTTTCTACTTTTATCACTTTAAATTTACATTTTAAAACAGGTTCAAAGATGAATTTATGAATAAATGCATGTTTCTCCACATATATGCCATAGTTAAGAGCATAGTTGCCATTTTCTCAGCTTTAAAATGAATACAAATCAAATGAAGATCAGTTTGAATTTGAGTCAAATCTATGAAACAGCTAAATTTACCAGAGAAAATTCTGAAAAAAAAAAAAAAAAAAAAAGATTCTAAGGTTGTTGGGCTGGCCAGGCGACACGCATAAAGGATAGAACGATTGGTCAGAGTGGTTCGTTCTCCCCCCAAATCTTTGCAAAGGAACCTACATGATACATAAACAAGCAACTTTCTTCGACTTGCTGTTGAATATTCCGACAAAATACAGCGTTTGCCATCAAATCGTTTTCTCATGGCAGTTTTTTTTGTAGTATTTTCAGAGTATATTTCATAAAAAGGAAAAATGACAAACTCTGTGGATGGGCACAGGCATATACACATATTTCAAACATGCAATAATAGTCAAGTCAAAATGGAATATTAATTTTCAGCGCAACACTGGACGCAAGCTCCACTCCCCTGTCTATTTTATTTTTTTAGACTTGTTGTTGTAAATATGAGCTATACAAATAAAATTGAATTGAATTGAATTGAACTGAATTGAATATTTTATCTGTTCTGCCACAACTTAATCCCAATGTTGACTTTGTTTCATTTTATGCTGTCATGTATGAAAATGTAGCCAAGATGAGGCGCAGAAGTCTAGTTTCCTCTCAAACCACTTGAATTTCAATATGCTGTAAAATTAATGAATTTTGCTTAAGGATGGCAAAAAACACTGGCAGCCCCAGCCGTACTTTTTGACATCCGTATATATTAACATACAATAAAATACAGTTTAATATATTTAAACATGGGAGTTAAATGTAGCTTAACTACATGGAATTTAATTAGACTCAAAGCTGAGGGGGCAACACTGCTGCTCTACCATTAACAGGGGCTTAGTGTGTTTTTTTTTCCCCCCTCTGACATAATTAAATTTAGCCAGAGACTCATTAGTTTAATAACCTAATATAGGTTCTTTTAAAATACATATGACAGCTTAAGGCAAATTAGTAGTAAACACAGCATTAGTGCAGTTTAGCTGTGGTTTGCTTAGCAGCTAACTTATAGTTAATGTGGCTTTCTGTGGAGTTGATCATCTTTTCAGGAAGTGTATAGATCACTGAAGTTAGCTGAACAGTTTGGTTTAAGCTCCATTAGGCAGTTACTCCACTATTCATATAACAATTATACACTTCAATGGTACAATCATTTCTTTTAATGGTAAAAGAGGCAAAAAGTTTAAAACTAAGGTTCCAGCTTTAAGTCAGTTTTTGGCAAAACAGTTGTCCAGCCTAATGAATTACATTATATACAACAAACAGAGCCTTCGAAAAACATCTAATAAATAGGAAATGTTCAAGAAACACATCTGGAGCTACAGTTTTAAAGTGTACAAGCTGCAGTAACTGCAAGACAACTAATCCAGTTCACCTGTTGTGGGGTTTCTGACCTGCTTCCATTATAAGCCCGCTCGAAAGGGCAACTCACAGGCACGATGTTGTGCCAGCCCGGCCGTTCCACCCACTTAAATGCACTCAATTTTGACAGAGGCAAGAAGCGCCGTCGCTTAGTTTAGATGGGCCTTTCAGTGATCTCTTTCTGCAAATGGTTCAGGTTGCCTTGTCACTGCCACAGCCATTAAGCCTCTCTGTCATCAAGGACAAGACGTACAGCAAACTGAACATTTGCAGGACCCTCGGCGAAAGTTCAGAGATAGTCAGCGAAGATGTCACGGCTATTATTCTGAGCAAAGGTGTTTGTGCTGGATAAACAGCTGGCATAGTATTGGAAGATTTTCTTTTTTTGTTGTTATCTCTGACTCCCAGTCTGCCAGACACAGTGACCTGACATCCGCATACATTTTAAACACTCCATTCCACCTTCTGTTCTCTCTTTGGCTGAAGACACAGACATGAATGAAGTCGTTTCAATTCATAGTTCTTCTCAAAAATTATGAAATAAGCTTTAGTCCACACTCATACGGCCTTGAGAGTTAATGCTTTATATTGGACAAAAATAAAAAAAATCTTGCATGCCTCAGGTTCTTGAAGCCTTTCCAAGCACAGGCTAAGTAGACGACTTTGTTCAAAGTTGTACCAGATTTTTTGCTTCCGACAGAAGTTGCCAGTCAAAGAACTTGCGGGGGGGAATGTTGTATCTCTGAGGGGCCAATACTCTGAGGCAAAACCCGCAACACAATTTCTCACCCAGGAAGTGTTAGCAAGTAATTTAGTGAAATGTGTGAGAGGGACAAGGGCAAGTATGAGCAAGGGAAGGAGGATGTTCAAGAAACTGGGTCGAGGGAGACTGTGGCAGTAGATTACTGTTGATTTATCCCAGGAGCTGTGAACAGGCAGAGCTACAGACGTGGATTCTTTCTCAGAAACCACCTCTCGCTTCGATTCTGGAGATTTTAGTGGACGGTCTGGTCATTGTGGCCAGCATGTCAGTCATGGGAAGCTTTTTTTTTTCCCTTGCTGTGGGCTTCTGCACAAATTGAGCTGGCTGAAGTAAAACTGCTTGCGTTTTCACTTCTTGTCTCGCTCGTTTTTTGTGTTCGGCATGGAGGAAAAAGAATAATGACACCCATGTTCACAGGGTGAAAGTGAGCTGTGTGAAAGGAACCGCGGTAGATACGATTTCTTTTTGTGGAAGATGATAGATACCGACTGCTGGATGAAAGAACGACACAAACTGACTATAACAGGAAATCCAGAGCTACAGTACAGCATCATCTCTCTGCACACATGTTTCTGTTGCTATTATTACACCATCTATTACTTATTAAATGTATATCACTGCTGTGGCTAATTAAATATGTAGCTACGGTTTCTTTGAAGCGGGCTGTACATACCGGTTGTCAACCTGTGCATGGGAGGAAAAACTGAATTTAAGAACAATGAATGTGATTCTGCTTTTACAGCAACACAGTGGCATTAAGCAAGCAAGCAGTCTCTCACTGAAGGACAAATAAATGTTGAAACCTCTTCTAATTATAAAACTCAAAGAGTCGGAGCTCCCTCTAGGGGTGACAGGGGACACGTGTGCTTTACTGGACTCCTGTCACTTCTTTTAAATTCTGACCGAAGCAACTTTGCCTGTAAACCACCATGATGAATAGATGCTTCTGATAAATGTAGAAACAATAGATGGCTGCAAATCAACAAGCAGTTAGACAAATTCAAAGCAGAATCTAATCAATTTAACAAAGCCTGAGTCAAGAATATGTCATAGCAACAGAGCGCGTGGGAATTTTACTTTGAATGCATTGAAATAATGAAAGGCTCAGTCCTTTTACTGTCAAAGATCAAACATGACACCGTCCTTTGCGACATAAAAAGGTTTAATAAAAAACAATCACCCTTTGCTTTTATAGAAACAGCAGCATAAAATGCAGAATTATCATGTTTAATTTATTGTGCTTGTCAGTCATGTGATGCAGCTTGTTAGACTACACTGCAGCTGTGCTTATATATGGATCTGAGTGGGTGGAGGGATAACAAATTTCCAGGCTTTGTAAGAGCACAGGAGGGAGGCTTACTGGTAATTTTGAGTGGGTAGACAGGAGGCTTATAGGTGGGCGAGGAAGTAACTAGATTTTATTCTACAGAAGTGGCAGGAAGGAGAGCCTTGTATGGCTGAGTAGGATGGGTATATTGTGTATCTGCAGCCCTGCGATGATGTTTATTTGTGTGTGTACAAAGGTTTCGCCTGTTCACAGTGCTCGCCTGGTGAATGACAAGTTCTTTCTGAGACTCCAAGTTGCTCCAGTCTGGTCGTCACTCTTTTTCCCATCTGGTTGAACTCAGACCTGTAGGTCGCCTCCATCTGATGCTCCCTCCGGTGCCTGTGACAGAGCAATTCAACAATACTGATGAAACAGCAGTGGGATTAAAGCTGGTTTTAAAGCAGCTGGAGCAGTGAAGAGAAAGATTGGTTAACTAGAGCCTCGTTTGTTGAAACACTGTAAAATAAAACGTTAGGAACATTCAAGACACCCAAGTATGGGATGTTTCAAATCAAAGTAGTCATGTTTAGCCACAATATGCAATGATGATAAAATGCCTCAAAAGTATTTAAACCATTTGAATAATTTCAAAATGTTACAAAACCATGATAGGCAACCGTAATTTTAAAAATCTGCCAAAATTGTATTAGTTTATTTTTTTAAATTTACAAGACATTTAGGCATCTACTTCATTTACTACATAATGTTACCTGTTTACACCTGGGTCTATATTATGAAACACGTTCAATGTACCCAAAATCTCTTTTCGTAATCTGTCGTAACTGAATATTTCTAAAAAGAACAAATTATCGTGGTCAAAAGGCAGCGTATTTATACACACTGATCTGCTATCTAAAACATAACCTGCTACCGAGTGGGTGATGTAGAATAGAATACTTTTTTATTGATCCCCCATTGGGGGAAATTTACACACCACAGCAGCATCCAAAAATATAGAAAGTACAAGAAAATAATAATTCAGGGATATGCATCCCCGGTGTCTGCACACAGCAGCTCCAAGGCCCCATCGTCTCCGGATGGGCAGTCCGCATACTGGCTGAATGTGGGGAGAGTGGTAGAGAGCGATGTACTGTATGGTTAAAATCTCCTGAGATGACGATCAGAGACTGAGGGTGTGATGTTTGCAGCTGGGACACTGAACTATGGATGAGTTCACAGGCTGCAACAGTATCAGCCGAGGGGGGATGTAAACTGCAATGGCCGCAAACCAACCTCCAGCAGTACAACATCCTTCGTGCAGCGCTGCTCTTTAACGCTAACGTGCCCAGTATTGCACCATCTCTCATTCACATACATGGCGAGTCCCCTGCCTTTCTTCTTACTACTCTCCCTCAAGCTCCAGTCCGCTCTGACCAGGTGAAATCTGTCCAAAGTTACGAGCGAGTTCAGAGTGAGTTCGTTCAGCCATGACTTCGTGAACAACATGAGGCTGCACTCCCGATACGCCCACTGCAGCCGGGTCAGTGCTGTTAGCTCTTCCATCAGTTAGGGAGAGACCTCTGGTTTCCCATGATGATGGATGGATGGACGGACGGCTTGAAGCATCTCCTCTTCTCCCGATGCTTCACTCCTGCCTTGCATCCCCTCTTCCTCCTGCGGAGCTCATCGGGGATGTCTGGTCTCTCCCACGACGGTGGCTTGGCCTGGCTCAGCGCCAACAGCTGTTTATGAGTGTAAAAATACTAGAGCCATGGCTCAACGGCTCAATGGCTCGCCAGACGCAAACCACAAAAACTCGCAAAAAAAAGCAAAAAACAGACCAACAAAAACACCATCTGCATCTCCTCTGTTCCCCCACAAATGTGGTACAGCTGTATGAAATTAAAATAATAAAAAGATAGAAGAAAAACCAAAGCAAATAGCTAAAAAAAAAAAACACACAAAGTAGGTAGGAGCCGCTGCAACTTGCTGCCACTCTCACGGTGTCATAGCAACAAAACTGTAAAAAATGTATGCAGTATAAGTTACCATAGTTATGTATCCCAGTAAGAACTGAACCACCATCGTAACTGTGCGAACCCAGGGTTAAACCTGAAGTTACCTGGCTAACTCCAAATAGTGTTTCATTGTATAAACCTTAGTAATATACCCACATATTCATATGAAAATGTAGAATTTAGCATAGAAATGTGGGTTAAATTACTGAATCTACAGGATAGGATAAAGAGGGAAGGACATGGATCTTTTTGACCGCAATGACAGCAGGTAAAAAGTCACAAGTTTGTTCCAGCTCCCAGGAAGCTTTCGTTGGAAGGAACATCTTTGCACAATTTGCACATTCATTAACTTCATGTCGGTCGCCAGTTCGCGTCCTGGTGGGGGCACCGGGATCTTTCTGCGTGGAGTTTACATGTTCTCCCCGTGCAGCGTGGGTTCTCTCCGGGTTCTCCGGCTTCCTCCCACAAGTCTAAGGTTAATTGGTGATTCTAAATTGTCTATAGGTGTGAATGTGAGTGTGCTTGGTTGTCTGTCTCTAAGTGTAGCCCTGCGATAGACTGGCGATCTGTCCAGGTGTCCCCTGCCTTCGCCCTAAATCGGCTGGGATAGGCTCCAGCCCCCCCGCGACCCTACTGAGGATTAAGCGGTGTATAGATAATGGATGGATTAACTTCATGTCTGGTTTATCCTGAGCACTTCCCCTCTGAAAACCAAACATGTTTTTTGCCCATTCTAATATGCAACACTTAAACATTCATCCTATTTATTGCATGGAAAGTGTTTCCTTCATATAAATATGCATCCACCATGCCTACAACTACCACATCTGTACTGTAAATGTTGAAGTGATATTTCCCCTCAGTCACATAATCATGCTAGTAGCAGGTTTACCTGGCTGTTATTCCTGTAGTGAGGTTGCTACTGGAGACCAGAGCTTCTTCAGACAAGAACTCAGCTCTGATCATCTCTGGCGTGAGTTGGACTTCTGAACCTTCACACCTGCACATGGATAAACACACATAATCTAAGCATTTGCAGAGGGTTCTTACATGAAACCTCATAGACATGAAGATCGATAGTGTAAATAGCATTGTATGTGCTTACGTGGTGTCCATTAGTGGTGCCATATCATCAGGGATGGAGGCGAGAGGAGGCGGCGCTGTGTGTGGAAGTATATCTGTGTCGTAGTCGACAAGCCTATAGGAGACACACACACACTGCGTTTCCCAATAAAGAGCCACGCCACATGTTACCGAAGCGAGATAATGCTCAGATATCTGCTCCGTCTAACTAAGATTAAAGGACTGCTTGAGGTTGTTTGAAATCTCCATTTGAACAGGGACGATAAAGGTGCTCTGAGTGAGAGTTGATACCACTTACGGCCAAAATGAAATTAAAACACTGACAAGCCACAGGTTTGCTTTTGCGGTTTGAGGCTGTGGTATCACTCAGAAATTTAAAAATGGTGGGAGCACGGGAGCTCATGGCCACAGTGTAAAAATGAAGGACTGGAAGACCTGGAGTGTGCTGCACTCGCAATAGAAATGTAATTTAAAAACAGCCCCAGCTGACGTGATTATTAAACAGCATTTCGAGTTTGAGGTTAACTTAATAAGACACGAGTTCCCCTGGAAACATGATTTGTGAAACTTTGAAAAATGTGCTATTTTTGCCATTCATTTCAATTTGTCTATACCTTCACTGTTATGGATCATGCATAAAATTAGGCTATCATGGATGTATGATTCATGCACAAAGGCAATTCATCACCAATTCACTTTAATAAAACATATCAGCGTGCGTGCTGTTCTTACCATCACCATCAAAGTGTAGCAGCACAATATCATAAACTTCACTCACTTCAAATAAAAGATTACTAACTCTGTAGATGCCAACCACCATAAAACAAAGCAGAAGAACAGACGTATCTGTGCTGCTAAAAGAACACAGCAGTGGTTGCTTTTCATCTGTTTTCTTATTCTTTCCACTACATTCTTCAGGATAATGATATATAAAATCTAAATCAAGTGCTTATAAATATTGTGTCTGTCTTTTCTAACAACAACAAAGTGAGCTCCTATAAAAGCCATGGTACAGTTTGCACTAAGAATTAGTCTCTCTCACATGACATTTTTTGTGTAGTTATGCAAGTAAAAATGAAGAAAAACTTAAAAATTTGCAACATCCAGTTAATAATTTACAATCAATTTACACTGCAATAATGCCAAGTTCATTCTCACCTTGGTTGTGCCCATCTGACATAAATCATAATATTTGTGTTCACAAGATAACTGGGTACACTTTGGCTATAGGCAGTGATAGAAAATTAATAAGGCTGAGCAGGAAGGCTGCAGAAGTTTTCTCTTGGATGAATAAAAAGAAGAATATATCTACAGTTATCCTGCAGATCAGAGCTGACAGGCATAAAGCGAATTCTTTGCTTTGCCAGGCATCTGATTATGTAACATAGGGAAGGTGAGAAAAAAAAAAACGAGAAGTAGACAGAGAGGTGAAGGGAGAGGGTTGTAGAAGAGACTCAAACCCACGCGTTCCCGAGTACATCATGTGAACAGCGGTTGCCAAAATGGCTCGGGCATCATGTCAAATAAAAACTTGAAATGCTTTCAGATCCCGCGAGGAACGTTGCTTCATTAGCTCTGCAATGTTAACTTTGCTACTTATATCAATTTCAAACAAGAAACTCTATCATGCAAGATGAATTACTATGGCATTATTTCCATGAGAAGGGTCAGAGACAGATGTTTTGCACACCTGAGTGGTATTGGTTTTGACAGGATGCGGAGAGAACACAGCCCACTACAAATAGAACAGGACAGCCCGATGCTGTGTTCACTAACACACTACAACAAAATATCATCATTTATTCAATGTCCATTTAGACTAAAGACTGAATAAATCATTATTTCACAATGTAAGTGAAGCCTCCATACAGTATGACCTAGATTCTACACAGACACACGTCACTGGAGGTATAAAACAGTACTAACCCGAACAGATTTGGAGGTTTGAATTCATGCTTTTCCTAAAATAAACTAATTGGAATTAAATCTGAAGATTAAAATATTTCAATTCAGAAATAATGAAATATGGCCATTTGTATTTCAATTACATTAAAACGTATATCATTGGAATTGTTTTGATAAAAAAAAAGTGAGAGAACCAATTAAAGAGTGCAAAAATGATTTGATCAGACTCTTCATAGGACATTAATTATGACCTGTGAGGACAATTTCACAAAAGCTTAAAAGAAAAAAAAAGAAAAAGAAAAAATTAGACCCAATACTTAAAATCCAAAATGGCTACTGCACTAGGTGCAAAATACAGCACAGCCAATCTCCCCTAACTATGAATATAAAATGAGTTCAGCTGGATGTATTACAAGCTGACATTCTGACATCCTGCAACCTGGCAGGTGCTGGCAGTTGTGTGGACGTGACTATTACATATTTATTTTGGAAGACTGTGAGAAGTCGTGTTTCTGTAACTCTGTATGAGATGATGAATGGAATCCCAAGCTGTTAAATGTTTATGCTGTGTCTTGGCAGTTTGACAGAGGGCATACAGAGGATAAAAATGTACTCCAAGAAGGGGGGGAAAAAAAAGAAATCCAGTAACTACTAACACAAGTCTGTCTTTCCAACATTTCTCATGTAGCTGATATGTAAAACATCCAATTTTCTCTATAAGTGAGGTCACATCCCTAACGTACTTTTTTATTTATTGATACAGTTTATGAAAGTGTCATGTCTTACAATGATTTTGCAACCAAAGGGTCATAAGTTTAAATTCTTTCACAGGCTGGAAAGACAAACAGCGGAAGTAAACCAAAGCCACTTTCCACTCTGTAAGCAAATACCATAAACAAGTACTTTTTGATCCCACGATGCTCCAGATGGAGCTTCTCAGTGATTTAATGCACATGAAGGTGGACTTACATGGGGACTTACGGGTAAATATACCCTCTCTTTTAACTTCTAGGTGACTCCTCTCAGTATGAAACCATTGCTATTATTCAGCAAAGAGGAAAAATGAAACTAGCACAACAGGACACTGCACATTGTGATGTCGTGGCTAACTCCTGCCATTTTCCAGTGAGGTCAGCAGGTAGATAAAGGGCTTTCCACCCCAAAGCTCACACTAAAGCAGCTCTGTTGAGATCAGCTGTCACAGCACTCAACTGAACGAAGCACAGCAAACACATACACATTTAAGTTCTGACCTACCTGAGTGGGACACAGTCACTGGGGAGAGCAGGTTGTTTGGACAGATGACTCAAGGTGTTTGAATCAAAATTCTTCCATTTCATGACCCCAGTGATCACCTCCTGTTGTTGGTCAAGAAATAAAAAAAAGGCATGTTTCAGTATATCAAACAATTTCAGTTATAAAACCGGGTATTTACACAAGAACAACTTCAGCTGAAAAGATCATATTTCATAAATGCCTGTTTCAATTACCAAACACTCAAATCCAGTAGGAAAATACTGCTTTGCATGTCTTACCCCCCCAAAAAAAAGACCAGTGCTTTAAAGATAAGACTAAAAGCATTCCAAACAAACTCAAAGCACAAAGATTGAAAAAGTACCTTGTGATTCAGAAACGTCTTATCAGTGTGTGGAGTTCTTATGCCACATGTGTTGCTCTCAGGGACTGCATACCTGCAAGTAGATTGTTGTTGTAAAGCTCAATGGAAATAAAATGTTCAGGCATCTAAGGATGAACTCATCACCTGGACAGAGGATATAAGTGGAACTCCAGGTATTTAGGGGTTGGTCTGTAAGCCTGAAGACCCGGAGCTGGATTCTAAATCAAAACACAAGATAAATATATTGCCATACATGGGAAAGAAAAAAGAAAAAAAAAAAAACAAAACTTGATGTTCTATTTCAGACTTGATTTTTAATGATAAATCACAGCCTTACAAAGATTCTGAGTGGGTTTGCTGGGAAAGGTCTGAGAAGAGCTTCAGGGGCACTGAAGGAGACGCTGGCAGCCTCTTTTTCTTTCACAACCTCCTCTTCATTTTCATGCTGCTCGTCCTCCCCTGCTTTGGGCTCCACTGTTTTGGGAGACTGTGTTCCAACTTCGCTGGGCACCAGTCTGTCCTAAAAGGTGATAAAGAGCAAACCGATTAGGTGGATCAGGGTAGATGAGTGGACTAATACACTAGGCGATATATCATGAATCAATAAATATTGGCTTAAATCCTGGTGCTGCATAGTTACCAGAGCTGCAGTGCGAAGAGGCCTCGCCAAAGTATTGGGAATATAAGAGTTAAATGCCTCCCAAGCCGACACTGGCTGGTAGCCCATAAGCTTATAGTGTTGAGGAACCTAACAGACACAACATCAGAACAGATTGGCCATTAACAAATGAGGAATCCACGTCTTTATTAATACATTTTTTTTGCAGCAAAAGTTTAAAGTGTATATTTTGTGAAGCTACACTGGTTGTGAATCTATTATAAGAGACAGAAATTAACATTTAACCTTTGAATCCCAATTTCAGAATGTGTTTTGCTCCTGTACCATTTGTTTTTTACTCCTTGTGGGCTCATTTTTTACTGCACAATAAAGTAGTGTTTTTTAACAAAAATTGAAAAAAACCTGGAATTAGCACATACAACATTTCTCCAAGTGAATACAGGGGTTATGAATACTGGGAAAAATGTATGATTCATACATACATGGCTATTTTATTGCTTGCATTTTAATGTTTTAATTTTATTTTTTTTACTATCAGCTGTGTAAAGACTGAGTGGGGCTTCTCAATTGCACCAATAAGCACAGATTATTTGTTTACTTAAGAGTCTGGTGCACAGAGTTTCTTTTTGTAGATTTTTTAAATGAGAGATGTCAAATAAATAGATTTTGACATATCACCATTTTAAGCTTAGGTATAATTAAGTTTCCCAAATAAATGACACGTCACAAATGAGTACTTCAGGAACCTTTAGAAAGTTTCCAGCACACTGACAAATGGTGACTTATTTACTTTTGTTGTTTTTTTATCAGATAAAATGCTTTTAAAGCCAACTGGTGGGTTTGGGGGTTTAGAGGGTTAATAGACATTCAAATATGTGGTCAAATACTTCAAGTAGGAAATGTGTGATAAGTACAGAAAGCAAAGCTAATTTTCCACAACATTGTAAACATGCTTATTAGATTCAAAGTACATTAGCGTTCAACACTTTCAGCTATGAAAGATAAAAGCACTTGAAAGTTCAACATTAAAACGCTCACTAAGCTGTGGCTAATATATTTATCATATGTGCCATGTTTAGATTGTTAATAGTAACAATGTGTCAGCTGGTTTAAGTGAGGAGAAAATAAATAAATTTTTTAAAAAAAGAAAGAACTGGAGGGTCACAAGATAAATCTATAGTGTCATGAGATGATAAATGGGGAAAGAAAGAAAACGAAGCAGATGCTGACTTTCATTAAGGGACTAAAAGCCAAAAAGGTTGAGAAGCACTGGTTAAAAATGTAACTATGCATTGAATTTTACAGCTTTATCATCAGTTATCATACATGCCCTGTAAATGTTGTCTGTGATGTCATGATGACCAGTAAATGCCTACTTGAAGTTTGAAGAAAGGCACGCATGTTGTCACAGTCACATCAATAGGATCCACAGGCACTGCCACCAAATTAATGTGAGCCTAGAAACATCAAGGAGACAAATGGCATTATTTGTTCAATTGAACACTGAGGCCCTTCTCAAGGACACCTGGGAAATGAAAGATTTAATCAAAGTGCCGAAAACTGAGCTTCCTCTTTGATTCCCCGGTTAGATCAAAGACATCTTTCACAGGAGATAATGGATGAGAACTGTTTAATGTGTAGGACAATAGCTGGCACTCACTTTTCTCATCTTCTGTCTGTCACCTCCCAGAAAGTTAGTTTAGAATTTAATGTCACAACATTTTCACAAGATTTGTAAGGAATGGATCAAATTGCTGTTTACATTATATACTATAGCTGACAACTCAGAGTCAGTATCTTTTTAGAATGCTGTTGGCAGGTTTATACTCACCAGGGAGTCTTCTTCATTAGTGAAAATGGGGAAAGAAGATGGAAAGACTGCGTTTGAAGAGATTTTCAGGTCGCTCGTTTTTTCTGCAGCTGAAGTAAACATAAAAAAGGCGACAAATATATATAAATATATATATGTATTAAAACTGTTCATTCCTACAGATATTAAGTATTCAGTGTTTAGATTCATAGCTCTGTTCCTGAGGTCTGCACATATGTTGTAAGAACCTCACAGTCACTTGAAGGGATTTCATTTCAATTTTACCTCTGGGAATAAATTCCATTAAACATGCTTTACTGACATGGCAAAACGAGATTATTTCTGAATGAGGAGATCATAGGATAATCAAAACCTTTCTGAGCTGGGGGCAGGTTCTTCATACTGTCTGCCAGTTTCTTCAAAGAGGCCAGTCGCCGGTCCATGCGGCATCGGATCACTACCTGGAAAGCACAGAGGAGCACAGGGAGGTTACTGCTATGCACAAGCTACTCATTCAGACCTGTAATCTCAGGAGGTGTCAGAGAAAGATGGCAAGGTTTTTCCAACTCTAATTAATTTCTGGCTTTGAAGACTTTTAGACTTACCGTATTCTATAAGGACACATTGAGGAGGTACAGTGGATCCGGACTAATTTTAAATGTATAAAAATGCCATTGTAAATAGAACTCTTTGGTTAATCAGAGCCCTGATACTCCTCACTGTGGACAGTTGTATCCTGTGCTTTCATTACCACCAAAGTGTGCTTCAAGCTTGACTGGATCCCATCTGTCACTCACTGAATTGGTTAGACACAAACATACATGTGTGCAAAAAAGTGAAGGAGTCGCAATAGTTTGTGAATCTACTGCATATGGACTTAGGTTTAAAATATACCTAAGATATTGGTTTATACAGTACAAGAAAGAAAATACTTTTGAACAAACAACAAAAAAGCAAACAAGCTTTTCAATATTAAACAGCTACTTAAATGCGAAATAATTTTGCAAACTTAACTGCACTAACCTGCAATAATGCTATTTTAATATGAAAACAATCTGTTTCTTTCAGTCAAAATCAGGGCTTACACACATGTATTGATAATTCTCAGTTTGGTCTTTGTCAAACTTTGAAATTGGCTGGTTGTGATTACCACATCTTACTCAGACAGGTTGGTTTGAAAATAAAACAGCTTCAACTTACTAGAGAGTATCTTTATTTGTCAACAGCTTTTTAAAAGAACACATTCATTTCTGCCTAAATTCATATTTAAAGTAAGTTGTGTGTGTGTTTTTGTTCATTGTAATCAACCTTTTAGACTTTTTTACATTCACATGTTGTCCTAATTTAAGTTAGAGAGAAAACAACAACAAGTTTTTCCTGAGGAAAATAGCTGCCTTTAATTTATTATCAACAAACATGGAAGATTTATATGTAAGAGCAACATGACTCCTTCTGTAGGTGCTGGATTGTTTCTAGCAGTATGTTCCAGGACTATATAAACACTTAAGAACCCACTGAGCAATTGAAGCAAACAGGTAATTTTCTATGCATCAGGACCTCACATAACAGCAGAGAAACACACTTTTCAACCTATTTACAGGTATTATATATATCTAAATATAACAAAGACATCAGTGCCATTTGAGTCAGCGGTACTTTATGTGCCCACAACTATCTATTAGGTCAACACACTGTTAAGCAAGAGTACTAACACCCACTTTTTTCTAGGAGACAGATGTTCTGCATGTTCCTTTAGAAAGATAGGGAAGAGTTATTTTACTGGAATGCACTTCATACTGGAAAATGTAATGTATGTAAGAAAAAAATTATACATTGAGTGTGGGAAACACACATGGCTGAACTAAAGGGAGAGGGCCAGAGGGACACAAGGCCTCTCCTGGAGGAGAAGGAAAGCGTGTGTCTATGTGAGAGATGTCTTGCGCATCAACGCATATGCATGTGTGCATTTGCACATGTACCTCTGTGGCTTTAGAGTACTTGGGTGCGTGTACCTTGCGTGCTGCCTGCTGGAACAGTCTGAGGGCTCTTTGTCTCATCTCCCACTGAAAACTGGAGTAAAACTGGAAGGATGGAGCTCCCTCAGGGGCCTGGAGGAGGTTAGAAAGACATTCACGACTGACTTTTATACGCTCGTTTGGTACAGTACATATAAAGAGAACCATAAAGTGGAATTTCATGAGGTTATAGCTGTGAGTATTTAAATGACAAAAGATGGTAGAATAGTAAAAAAGTGAACATTAGACTGAAATAAATTGGACAAGGGCTGTAGGCAACAGATTCATTTAATCTAAGGCCGTCGAGAGCCATCTTTTGTAGTGAGGCCCCTCTTGTGCAAGAAAAAGGAAAAGAAAATCTATCATCCAGGCATGCTCTCACTTGGTAGAGGCTTATCCACAACATGAAAAAAAGGTATACTAAGTATTAACTGAACTTTGTGCATGCTGCAGTTTTAAAACCCAGGTATTTTAGTTTCAGATTTTGAAGTATGTGCTACCCAAGATTTTACCAAAGGCTCCTGTAACTACATCATGTACACTACTGGCAACATAAGAGACACTGAAACTAATTTAGCAACAATCAAGGTGCAAACTACAGTGGAGCAAGTGAACTTTTCTGAAGAGGTGAGCTCACCTGAAAACATGACAGGAAATATTGGGGGGTCTCTAAAACATGGTTATCATACTATTTTTTGCTGTGTACTTATTTTGTCAGTATCTTCATATTCAAGGATCATGTGTAAAATTAGGATACTATTGATGTATGATTTACACATCAGGGTTATTCATCATTAATTTACTTTAACAAAGATACCAGTAGGGCTGGACCCGAATATCCGAATAGCCGACTATTCGTTCGCTGTGCTGGTATCGGGATAGCATTTTTGATCTCCCCCTGCATCCATATGCAGTATTCAGGATGTTTGTCATTAATTGGGCCGAATATCCGGAGAACGGAAATTGCTATTCGGACTAGCCCTAGATACCAGCATGCATGCAGTTCTTGCCATCACTATCGCAGCGTGGCAGCACGATATCATAAGCCTCAATCACTCTAATTCAAAAATCTGAAAAAGCACACTGTCTTGATGCCAACGCCATAAGATGTAACAGAATAAAAAAGTTAACCCTCAGTGGTGCTTAAAGCAGGCAGCAGCTTCTATTTTACTTTTTTTTTTTTTCATAAATGTTATCGTTCATATTCTTCTTAACAGAATAAATAAAAGCTAAATCAAGTGCTTTATAACTGCTGTGGTTGTCGTTTCTGACCACACAAAAGTGAAAAAGAACGGCACATGTAGTTTGTATACTGACAACAATGGAAACCTCAGCCTATTAGCGCAGCAACTATTTGAAAACAACAACTTTTTAATGTGGGGAGCTTTTCATTTCCATGCTATTACCAAAGCAAAATGAATAAAATGCAAAAGTTAACAAAAGCAAAAACTCACCTGTCCTGCTTCACGCAGCACCCGTTTGGAGGAAAGTTTAGGTTGTCCAGCAACAAAATCTTCATCCTGCATCACATCTCCCCTTTTTACCTACAACACAGTCGGTTAGCCCTGAATAATGAAGATCTGCAAAGCACACACAGATGTCCATCCATCCATCCATCCATTATCTATACACCGCTTAATCCTCACAAGGGTCGCGGGAGGGGCTGGAGTCTATCCCAGCCGACTTAGGGCAAAGGCAGGGGACACCCTGGACAGGTCGCCAGTCTATCACAGGGCTACACTTAGAGACAGACAACCAAGCACACTCACATTCAAACACAGATGTTATTTGTAAAAAGCTAGTGTTAAACAAGACTACTAGCCTACAGTCATACTTGCAGCTCTTTTAAGCTGTACTTTGGCACAGGGATGCTTTGAGCTAAATGTAAATGTCAGTACAGTAACACACTCTGCTGGTACAATTCTTACCACATTAACCATCTTAGTTCAGTTAATGTGTACACGTGATGTAGAATTTGCTCTAAACTGAAAATTATTTAGTATTACTCCATTCAATAGTTGTTGAGATGCTTTAGTCCAAAAGAAAGATGTGAATCGGCCAGCCGGCAAACCATCAGTGCCATGTCGCAAGCACAAATGCCAGTTCTGAAAGCAGACTAAAGCGATAATATAGTATTTTAACAAGACGTAGCTGACTATCAATCTAGAAGTATCTTATGCCGGTACAGCCTTACTGTTGTGCTGCTCCTCTTACATTGAAAAGCAAGTCATGAATTTTCTTCCGTATGCACAGTATTTAATTTGGTAGTGTGCCACACTGTCAAAATTGGAAAGAATTATGCTAAAAAAAATAGAGAAAAGGAGATTGGAATTAAAGTCAAATTAGATGGTGTTGTTTGTTTTTTTCAAAGCCTTCACACCCCTGGCAATGATGATTGCTGCAAGACCAGTGGAAATAAAACAACCCAACGTATTACACCTCTTTTGTAAGAACAACTTGGAATCCTGTGGTTACATAGAAAGTGTTCTCTCTGTCCCAGTAAGACAAGCCACCGAATGCTTATTTCTGTGATACAAGAACTTCCTTTAACTTTCCAACTTTGTAACCAGCATAGTCTGAGGGATGAAAAAATAATGTTGCTGTAAAACCATGTCACTATGACACTAACAGAGGATCAAGTTTTATCGCTTTAGTTTTTTGAGTTGTGGCCTTCAGATGATTCCAAAGCGGACCTACAGAGGAAGAAGATACACATCTTATCATAAAATTATCATAAAATACCGGCGTGTGGTGATATGAGGCTGTAAAAACACAGAGTATATGGCAGAGGATACATGCGTGTGTGTGTGTGTGTGTGTGTGTTTGTGTGGTTGTGTGTGTGTGTGTGTGTGCGTGTGTGTGTATAAACAGCTCAGGAGGAGAGGAGATAGGGGAGGAAGTGCTGTTAAATGTCTGTGAGAGTTCTGTCAACTATTCAAACAACTTTTCTGGGGACATCCACACAAACACACTCATATTTCAAATGACTTTACTTTGGGAGAGTCTGCATTATTTCCACAGTGACTCAAAATCATTCACAGAGGCAGGAGGATTTTGTTTTTTACGGACCGAATATCACAGTGTTATCCAATAATATTACATCTGAATCGGGTTATGACATTGGTATGCCTACAGAGTCCAGCATAAGTGATTCATTATCAACACATCTGGTAAATGTCACACTGAGTTAAATGGAAAAACACTGAAAGGCATTACATAAAAACATCTACTGCAACAAAGGCAGGAAAATTTCTTCGACTATAATTAGAGCAAGAACGATTAGACGAGCACAGTTTTCCTGTACACACTATAAAAGATAATGTCAACCAAAAGTCAGTCCTTGAGGGTCAGTGTCCTGGAGGTTTTTTACTCTTTCTTACTATATTTAGTAATAAATGCAGACCCTCAAAGGTCTAACAGCCAGTAGAGCCAGAAATATAACACAATTTAAGTTCTACATAGTGTAATAATGTACACTTCAGAGGAGTGCTTTTCAAAATGAGAGGTGCACTTCTGTGGGGGAGCGTAAGGTTTGCCATGCGAGCCACAGAGGGAGAGCCATGAGGCAACGGTATTACGTGAGGTGAAAAGGACATGTGCATGCTGGTGTTCTGGAGATAACGCGAAGTTAGTTGGTCAAAATCACATGTCCTCTCCAGTGTGCCAGAATCTAAATATAGGCTAACTCACTCCAGACTTAGAAAACTCTTGCTTTGCATTAAGCCGTTCAGTAGAACGTCTTTCTGCTTGAGTTTTAATAGGAAGAGCGTTTCTGTTTTTCCACACTGAGTGAAAAATCTTACCATGTATTCATGCAATGCAATCTCTCTCTCCTCCACGATCTGCCTCCTGGTTTGTGCTGACATGGGGTCCATACCCAGATGAACTTGCCTAGGTGCAATGTACATGTGTGTAGTAATTAGGCAATCACATTGAAAAAAAAACAAGCATTTTTAACAACATAAAGAAGCTAAAATGACCTTTTACAAAAACCTCCAAATCCTAATTTGCTGCATGGTGTGAAATTCTATTATTTCTTTGCAGATGCGCGCGGTGATTCAAAAAATAAGTGCCTCTATAGATGACAGAGAGATGAAAGCTACTGTTTTGCCAGTATACACTCTTATTACTAAGTAAGGTACTGCTGCTGCTGCCACAATTGCAGCTGTGGTAATGGAAACTTAAAACTGTGTACACTGTTTGAATCATCAGGCTTTGTGTATTTAGACCATGTCTAATCGGGACCAATGCCATTAAACAAACAACAGTGGAATTTTCACTCGGTCCATTTGTGAGCCAGTGAGTGCAAAGGAGTTAAAATTCTGGTGTAAATATTCTCACACTGACTTACTGTTTGCATTCTTACAAGTAGTACAAATACTACAACCATAAAAAGATTGTTGTATAATTTCGTGCACACAACAAAACCACTGAAACGTCCACAGAGAATTAAACTTTTATGTTTTAATTCAACCTACCATTTAAGGTGGTTGGCTTGTTCCGCTTTCACGTTTTGTTGAACCTTTTTCATGAAGAGAACCTCCTTCATCTGCCTGTTCTGCGGTCCTACCATACTGCCACAGGATATGGCTGAAGTCAAAGGGCCACCAACAAAATCAGAGACATGATACATACTTTGCAACATGCATGAAACTTCCACAACTTAGAGGAACTAACAGAATGTAGTTCATTTACAGGAGACAGCATGTGACATGTATGTCAGCTCGTAGAGGAAAATCAGTGGGTTGCTTTTACCTTCCTTCAGGTCTTTAGAGTTGAGTTTAGTGGTGTCCTTGATCAGCATCTTCGCCACCCCTGCAGGAGTACAAACATCTCCTGGTGGTTTTAGTGCTGACTTAATATCAGCCTGCTCTCTCAATATCTACAGGACAGGACAGACAAAGATTGATGAGTCACAACTATAACAAATATAACGCTAACTTGATCGGTCCACTACCTTTGATTTGTCAGCCTCCTTTGTTGACCTGTATTTGGTTTTACTTCGAGAAGGCACTCGGGCAGCAGGTGAAGTACCTTTGTGTTCTGCAGACACTGCATCTCCATGACCCGGCTTTCTTTCCAGCTGACTATCATGGACAAAGATGGATAAATAAAATTACTCATGATGAAGTAAAACAAGCAGTGACAGAACTCTACACAATCAGTAAAAAAACAGAATCATCATTGTGTTGCAGACTGCAGCTGATAGTTTTGCAAACCAAAGCAGTGATCAGCGAAAAATGATACTAAAATTTCACACTGCTTAGATTATAGCCAAAGAAGAGTTACTTTTGACTAACTTTTAGTCTGAGATCATCCTCATGAAAAAGAACAAAACATTTATCTGCACATTCATCCTGCTAACAATCATTCGCATGACGTATTAAAACACTTCTATGTGTAAACCTAATGCTTAAAATATAATATTCTGGGTGCACCTAAATGTTCTTTATTTAGGCGTACCTGTACAACTAATGTAAAGAGTTAGCCTGGTGCCCTGATTGTGAGTTTTTATAAGCAGCTGAATTTAGCTACAAGAAATGGTTACATGTTGAAAAAGTAAGCATAAATATACGTTACTGAATAAAGGCTGAAACACTCCAGTTATTCCAAGTTGCTGTAATATGACTGCAAACTTGATTACGCAACCTAAACACTGACAATCCAACTGTATGATACACACTTGCTTTTCCCCCCATTATGTAACAGAATAGTTAGCTTAACAGGTGAGGTGGGCGCAGAGTCTCTACAGGATATCTTTCCAGAATCAGTTCTCTTAGCAGAGTAAGAAAAGCTCCAAATTGTTTATATAATGATATATGGACAGCTAGAGAGTTGAAGGGTATGGGGGTGGCAGGGAGGCTGAGCAATGAGGTCAGAAGCTAGATAATGAATTTTCATGATATTAACATTTTTCCACCTGTCAAACACTTTCAATGTCTCCCTCACTTTTTTTTTTTTGTAAATGTGGGAGGACAAAACATTAGAAACAACTCTCAGTACGGTAAGGCAGTCCAACACCAGGATCTTACTAACTATGCCCTTATATCACCATAGAGTTTACTCAATACCTGTCCAACACTGTGTCAACAATAGCTGAACATTAAAACGGTCATAAAGATTCAGGAGATTTATGCAAGGATTTATTGCAGAGCGTCTATTTAGATTGATTAGATTGGTGGAAAGTGCAACTCAGAAGCATTCCAATATGAAAACCATCAGTATCTGTTTCAGAATAGACTCTATCTATGTCAGATAAGTCCGGCAGGGGATACTCAGCAACAAGTTAGACACTGGTTCAAACTGGAAAAACACTGGCTCTAGCATATATTTCTTCATCTTTCATTGCACATATTTCATCTTTTATTTGGTTCCACTGTGGGAAACAACAAACACAGGGAGAGTGTTTTATATGCTAAACATCCATTGGGAAGCATATCCATCTTGATATCGCTCCACCAGCTACCAAGCTATTTTCATGAATTATTAACTTTTGGCCGAGATAACGCCAGACAGTGCAGGGGATGAAGCTGCTGCTGTGTGATGGATAGCACCCTCTTTCACATGGGAACAGAATTAAGCATTAGGTTTTATACCAGCCAAAAAAATAAATAAATAAATGGGAACTTCAAATCCGCACACGAGAACATTTTCACTGAATCCTGTTGAATGCATGTTTTTTTTTTGGTAGCTAGGTTTCTCATACAACCGGAGAACTGAAAAGGCTTTACTTCATCACGCTATTATTCGGGATACTTGTTTCTAATTTTTGTCTTTAGCTGATATTTTCATGGAATAAGTAGACGCGATAGTTACGAGTATGAGATAGCACAGTAAGATGAGGGCGTAAAAGCTGGACAGTAAATTGTGCGCAGTGAAGAAGAAGCACGCAACCCTTGAAACAAGTAATTTCTGGTGACTGCAGGTTTGACATACTGCTACCAGTGCTGTGAATGTACCTCTAATCCACCATCGTAAATCGAAATTTGTATAAATACTTTAACAGGGTGTCCTAGTACCTGAGTGCTAGATGAGGTGCACAGCTCCCAGTGATGGTACAGAGGTAAGGCTTGGTATTGAACTGTGAAATGACCAGCTGGATGGTGACTTGAGAAGTCTCATATCGGAAAGGACTAAAGGTCACAGTGATCTTCACCTCGCCACTGGCTGGTATCACACCTGGAAAAACAAGAAAAAACATATTAATAACTTGCAGAGCTCAGTGACTAGGGATTATGTCTAGAGTAAACTAAAAAAAATGGCCATTAAAACTTCTGCTATATGTCAGAAACTGCTTAATATACTAGAAAAAGAGTTGAACTAGTTTTCCCTTTGTAGTCTTTTTGTGAGCACCCTGTTTTGTTCACTCTAGCCAGCCTTTGTGTATTTGTCTGTCTGTTAGTTTAATTAATGATCTTTAGTGTTTCTAGTTTTGCCCCTTTTTGGTTTTAGGTTTGTTGCTTGATATTTATTCCCTTACAGCTTAGATTCCCCCATTCTTGTCAGTTTTGTTAATCATTTCAAATAAACCCTGTAATTCCTTGATTTGTCTCTGCCTGTTCTCGTGTCTGCAAACCTGTTTCATGACATCAAATTGCTAGCTAAGCATACTACATGAAGAGTTAAAATTGTTAGACATACCATGAATAGATTTCAAGCAGTTGTCTAGCAGCGACTAATAAATGGTCATCGACAGTTGCATTTACCAACAACTGACCTGGCAGACAAGATGGCTGCACCCCTACAACATGGACGCCTGCAGTTTAATGATGTGAGCTCCAAAGTAGCATTCGAATGTAAATAAATACTATATTTATTCAGTAGAAATGTATTTTTGATCACGTGGCTCTTTTAATGGCCTTGTACACTATTTTGAATCAAGGTTGAAGTTAGTACAGATTTTTAAAGTGTGCCAATATATTTATACTAGTACAGTATACTAGTTAACTGTCTTTAAAAAGTCATTCATTCTTTTCATTTATTTTTTAAAATAATTTATTAAATTGTGTGAATAGGTCTAACTGGAAGACTGAAAGAACTAAACACTTTTATTGCATCCTCTGTCCAAATCCAGTTTAACCCTGCAGCTATTACACTAAAATAGACATATTTATGTTTAAGGTCAAAATGATGCCAGAAAATTTAAACCTACAAAAAATGACGGTAATTGAAAGTATTACTAAAGAGTAACCACCAGTTACAGAAATATCATTAAAAGTATACCTAGCCTTAAAGTTTGATAGACAACGCTGAAGAAAATCATTTAAAAAAACAACTTTTTTTTTTTTCAAGTCCTCCTAATGTTCACAGAAAACACATCATGAAATTCCACTGCTGATGTGAAGTGATTTCTTGCCAGCTGTGGAGGGGATTCTTGCAGAGGCCTGGCATCTCATCTGCAGCCGGGTCCCTCTCAAAATTAATGGACAAATGGCAGAAATAGCTAAATGCACTGTAATGGACCAACATACATTTAGAATTCCTTTGGATGTTAAACTACCTTAAAAGATAGTGTTAAATAATATCCACTTTAAGTTTGAAATTAACATATTTGACACATGACAAATGGGTCAATAAATGGGGTACTTGAGCTCGTGTGACTGGGCTGAAAGGGTTATGGAGTGGTGGCCCTGAATAAGACAAAATGACAGATGCACACAACATGCTATTATACGGCACTTAACTACAATTGCTGGCTTCTGTGACTATTTTATTTATTTATTTTTTATATACATAATGTGCTGTACATGTTGTAAAGTGCATTTGTGCAAATAGAAGAGAATACATGAAAGCATTTCCAAACGGAGAAACTCATTTGTATCTCTTCTTCTCAGTCCAGGAATTAATGCGGCTGTAATTCAGATCCCAAGTGCTTTTTTCCGCCATGTGTTGTGACGCTTCCCAGAACATGAATACTGCTTAATGTCAGCATGTGGAAAATGGAGGCATCCTTCAAGTCATGTAGTGACTTATTCAAAACACAACACACAGCGCTGTGAGGATTTGAGAAAGCGCAGCACACTTGCTCTTTCTGCTGGGTTATATTTTTTAATCTTATAGGTTAAATGAGAACTACAAATGGAAAAATTATTTTTATTTATACATGTCACGTTAAAGGCAAACTCCTAGATTTAACAAATATAAGAGTAAAAGTGCAGTTATCTTTAAAAAACAAAAAAAAATAAGCCTTTATATGCAGCACAGTATAATGCGACGGCATGCTGAATTCTCATTTTAACACAGTTTTTGAAGTGAAATTAAATGATTGATGACAAGGCTTTACCTGTGAGGGGGTGGATGGAGAAAGCCTCATGTGGCTGAATAACAAACACCTGAAATTCAAAGTCAATTGGACAGCTGCATCTCAAAGGAATAGCCTGGCAAACACTAGAGACAGGGGAGGAAAAGGAGAAAAAAAACAGAGATGAGATTATTTTTTCATGATTTAACACAAACGGGTGAATGGAAGCATGGCTGGCTGTATGGAAGAATACAAAGAGACAGGCAAGACCTGAGGCAGATGGGAGGTCAAAGAACAGTCCATCATAGTTCCTAACACACACACACACACCTTTGTCCAAGTGGTACGGCTGATAAGTCGATATGTGGAGGGATGTGCAGGTCATCGATGACAGGGTAAGCATGAACTGGAATTAACAGGTTCTCTTCCCCCTTCGAAAAAGAGTGTGGGCGGATTGAATGAACAAGGCAGAGAGAAACCACGAGGGCGAAGACATGGAGGGTGAAAGAAGAGAGGTCTCGGAGTAAACAAGGGGACGTATCATCAAAAGGGATAAGTTAAAGCAGCTATGAGGTGTTCCTTGTGGTTGTTTAAATGTTTTCTAAACTCCATATGATGCCGGACAAAAAGTGAGCTACATGTGCTAAACGTTGTGGGTAGTTGCATCTTTTCAGTGATTGTTAATAATGTCACTGGGAAGTTCCTTGAGAGCAGCAGAGCACCCACACGGGAATGAAAACTGTTGAAAAGCTAACCTTGCAGTGAATGTGAATGCAGTCATAGAAGTAGCGCCACTCATCGGGACAGAAGACGACCTTCAGCGTGTAGGCGAGGCCTGGGATGAGTCGATACTTGAGAAAAAAAGAGACGGAACAAGGTTAAATCTAGAGCAAAAACACTGATTGCACTCATGGACAAGTGCAGTTATAATCCTATATTCAGGTCAGCAATTTGTAATGGAAAAAAAATATACCTTTTTGGTATAAGTAGTCTGGAAGTGCTTGGTTTGGGTGGGAATTATATGAATATTCATAACTTCAGATGAGATGTTGATTAGTTTCTGATGGGGAGGAAGAGGAGAGAAAAGAAATAATTAATTTCCATCCAATCGTGTGCACTTGAGAAAACCCATTTCCATATTCCTGCAGCTTACATACAGCCTACAGTGCTTCATTGCACATATATGGTGCAAAATCAGTCTCCATTCAATTAAAACTAATCTTGCCTTGATGGAAATTAAATTAGGAGAATTTGTGATGGAGCTGGATTTCTAGAATTATTTTAAAACTTAGAAGAGAAATACAAACTACATCAGCTTGTCGTTCATTTACTACCCAGGGAAATTCTAAATCCAGGACATTAATAGATTGTGTACTCATACACAGCACCCTTTTCACTGCTTCACTGAACACTTGAAAAAAAAAATGATTATGGCTACGATACAACTCAACCTTGGCCTCACATCAAGTTCTACTTGTCACTCTTCTTGCTAAAATAAGGTGTCACACATCACAGTTATAGATTCAATTTCTGCTGCAGTGAGGTCTGTAAATAACAATTATTTCCACTGTGGATTAACATGTCAATTATTTTTTGGATCAATTCGAGAGGAGTTTGGTCGATAAAATGTCAGAATGTGGGGAAAAACGTTGATCAATGTTTTGCAAATCTCAAAATGGCGTCTTTAAATATCTCGGTTTGTCCAAAGCCCAAAGATTTTCAGTTTACTGTCATAAAAGAGTAAAAAAAAAAAAGACAATATTCCATTTAAGAACTTGGAATCAGAGAATTTAGACTGATTTTCTTTTTACTTTAACCAATTAAGCACACACCTACATCAATCACATCTAGGGGGAAAAAAAGTCCTACTGACGCAATAATATAGTAGACGTTGGGAAAGAGACCAAACAACAAAACTCCTTTATGTCCTGTATTTATAGTACTTGAAATATACCATTTTTGTAACCTACTGTGTGGTCTTTATTTGCCTTGTATTTACTTGTATTTCACAAAAAAGAAGAATCATGTATCCTTCTTACACTTGAAGCCTTGAAAGAATAACAGCAAAAGCTTGGGACTATGGATTATATTTTCAAAACTAACTCACAGACAGTGCATTAGTCGTGAAGTTTAACCTGTTCATGTCAAATTTAAATAGTGAATGTTAAATAATCTTAAAATTAGCAATATTTTCCATACCACAATCTTTATGTAATCTTTCCCAAGCTCAAACCCACTGAAGTGAAGCACTGAAGGCTCTGCTTGGATCAGGCTGTTGCTTTTCAGTTTGGCATAGATTTCTATAAAGGAAAAAAACACAGATGTTGATCTTTTGCATAAGCAAATAGTAAATTCACAACTGCAGTAGATTTTCTACACACGCATACAAATACAGAATTCCAAACATACATGTTGGCTATTTTGAACCCAAACTAAGCAGCAACTAATGAGGAAGAGAATGCAACACAACTACAGAAACTGCAGACTGGGTGCCAAATTGAATGTTACTGTAAGGTTAAATACTTGGCATCAGTGTGGTGAGAAAGCAGTGCTAATGGATCAGGAGGTTTCAAAGGTCATGGTTAATATGTACTTGACTCCAGTAGATGATTGGGGATGCTGGCACTGCTCCTGCTCTCCTCCACCAGCTGGCTCAGAGGCAGAGGCGTCCCCCTCCTGAGGGGCTCTGAGAGGGTCTGCAGACCAGACAGGGCCACCTCCATCCTGGCAAGAAGGTCAGGTCCGGTTCCTCATGAGAGAAATGACAGAAGGCTAAAGGACAGTCAAGGAGACAGTGGTGTGTTGGGAGATACTATGATGGTAAACCTATGACTGTATAACAGGCATACAAAAGAATACGGCGAGTTATATTGCTTAATGCGAGTAAATTGGAGTTAATTAAGTATTTGTTAAAGTCACTTTCTTAATATGAAAATTCACAAAACATACCCCCGGGTAATATAAAACCTCGTTTGTATCACTGAAAGTTGGCGGTGACAATTTGACACGTACCGTTAGCAAGGAGGCTAACAACAGCAAGTCACTGGGGTTAGCCGTTAGCTTAATTAAACTCGCGATAACTTAAATAAGCGCGACTAGGGACGATTTTTCTCAAACGTCTCATGAAAAAAACTTTCGAAAATGTAACTCTAGTATTTACTAATGTTACAAACTAAAGGCTGCTTTTAGTTGTTTAGATAAAATAGTGACATTGCGTGTGTTTTCGTACCGGATGCATTTACTTTATACACCTTTCTCCCGTTGCAGCCCACCGTCAAACACTGCTGTTACCATGGCGACATTAGGTGCTCTGAAGAGGCAGGACAACAATGTATGGGTGAATATGATTGGTTGACTACACGGTCTGTTAAACTGCGTCAAGTTAGTCAAAATTAGATAAAAATGCTCGCTATTTCCGGTTTCAAAACAAAACTCATACAACATACAGTGACGTTTCCTGCTTTTTTTGTTACTTGTTTAAGCATATACTGCCTAGTTAAATTGTATTGTATGAATTAAAATTTGCATTTGCTGTAGGGACGGTAGTAAATATGCTCGCTGTTGCCATACATTTGCCTGTTCCACTAAAGTAATATTTTATTTTGAAAGTCAAGCCCGGACCTTATTGAAGCTAACTTGATAGAAAGCGCTCCTCAGATGGTCCTGTGGAGTACTGTACACGATTATCAGCCCATGTTTGATTATCAGACCTCATATATCTGCGGTATGGCAGGATGCTTGCTTTTCATTCTAATCAGATATACAGCTTGAGGTCTGGACGTGGGTACACATCCTGATGGGAAAGGGGAATCTGTTTGACAAAATGAAAAAAGTTGGACTTATTGGGGTGTTGCTATTACACCAGGTGAGCAAAAAAAGACGCGTTTTTAAAATAAATCTAGGGTAACTCACAAGAACAGGAACATTAATAAATCCGTTTACTGCAGGTAAAGTCGTCATCGGGTTGTCATCCTCATGTGAATCTTGTGAAAGAGGAAGAAAAGTGCATGAAAGACCTGCAACTTTTAATGTCACACAAAGCAACAGGTAAGTTAATACAGTTTTCTAATTCTTCGGTTCCTCCCTATTGTGATGTTTTTTTTTGTTTGTTTTATTATTAAGAGTAAATCAAAATTGCTACTCAATGAACGTTATCACTGAGAAAATGCAGGATTTCTGAAATAAAATAAAACTTTTATTTAGGCTTTTTTTTTTAACCGACAGAAATTTGCTGCAGTGTTTTAGTGACACCTAGTGGTCACATCACGTAATGCACACTGAAATCCACAGGCCAAAACACAGAAGGCACTCAAGATATTGAAGATATTTCGGGAGATTAATCCAGATATGGTCGCATTGTAGTTTTCACCTTGCAGTTAAAGCATGAAATTGTTCATTTTTTACTTATTATGCCTTGTTTGCATTTGCAAATAAAAACACTCATATCTGGTTTGTCTATTAAGAAAATATCAGCGTTCACTGCAAGGGAATGTGGGACGACCTGAACTGCTGGCCACCTGCTTCTCTTGAGGAAACAGTTTCTCAACCCTGTCCAGATTTCTTTGATTCAGAAGGTAAAATACAAACAGCGACACACATTTACAGACACCCATTATCTATACCATGCTATACCACATCTATATGACATGGCACTGGTTAGATATGTGCCTGGAAACTAATTTGTTTTCATAAAGAGCTGATAGAACTTGTCCCGCTCAGGCTGTCTATCCAAGCGTTGAGCCATAAAATCTTTGTGTACACAGAGACTCTGGGTAACACATTGTAGTGTTAGGTATTTGTCTGGAGATGAGGGTGATAGATTTCATCAAAAAATAATAATAATTGCAGCGCCAGAGGTTTATCACAGAGCCTTAAAGGGAAATGAGTGGTTTTGCAGCTCACACATAGATGCTGTGTTCACCCTTGTCCCCTTGTATGACATTATATTTGAGAATACAGTCTGTGCCCTGATGGTTGGCTCAATTTTCACACTCAAAGAGACAGAGCTGTCATTTCATTGCTCATTTTTTTTTAGGTAAAGTCGAACGCAACTGCACCGCCAATGGCTGGACGGATCTGCTGGTCCCGCATGAAGATGCATGTGGCTACACTTTCAATGAGACACTGCAGTTTCTTGGAGAGGTTTGCAGTTTCTGCTTTTTGAATTTGTCGGGTATATCTGTTTATATGGAATAATGCGAGGTCCTAATTTTTAAATGAGTCTGGTAAACTTGTATTATATATGAGACTGTAGCATTTTGGTGTAATATCTAAATTAGTTTTGTGTAAAATATTGTGCATTCTTAATCTTAATATGTAAACTTGTAGGGTACATTTGGAAGCTTATTCGTATTTCTCTACTGGAAAGCACTTTGAGTCAACATCTGTTGTTTTAAATGGTCTGTATACGCAACAATGACTTGACTTTACTCTCTAATACACATCTAATACAGGATGTTTATCCCATATGTAATTAGATACACTCAGATGTGCGGTGACCAAATACTATTTGAGCTAACTGCAGTCTTATCTCTGGAGGTGCTTGAAAAATGTGAGCCAGTTTTGAGTTTTAGTTTCTCAAAACAGCTGAGCAACCTGAGAAAAACACCTGCCATAAGTTAGACGAGAAGACTGATGCCACACATGTGCCTGAGTACTGAATGAGTGGGGTAAATCTAACTTTATACACAATCAGCAACTCAGCACTGGAAATAGGCAAAATATGTGAAATAAATGTGATATCTGGCTTCAGCTAGACCTGCGTCTCTGGTCTATGGACCGCTGCACTCCCTTCAGGCTGAATAATTCACACTGAACTGAGTTTGAGTCAGACCCAGCATCTAGTATAATATGTGGATGATTCATGGTCTCAGATATACTGCCAAATCCTACTGTTTTGGAAAGTAATTGAACATTGTTCACTTTCCCTTGTTCAGTCCTCAGACTCCCATTTGTATTTCTCCTACGTGAAGACCATGTACACAGTCGGATACACACTTTCCCTCATCTCTCTCACCATCGCTATCGCCATATTCTGTCTGTTTAGGTGAGAAACATTTTTCTCTTATCCACTGTCCCTCTTTTAATCACAGATAACTGTATGAAATCCTGCACCGGCCTTCCTTTTTCACCTCTTGCTGCATATCTTAGATTGAATCGCTGTTGAATCTGCCCTTTAAAGCTGGGGATTATCAAATAACTTTGAAGTGTTGAATTTTAATGTTTCTTCAGGAAGCTGCACTGTACCAGGAACTACATTCACATCCAGTTGTTTATCTCCTTCATCCTGAGAGCCATTTTCATCTTTGTCAGAGACGCTCACCTGAACGAAGAGCTCTATCACTGTGACTATTACCCGGTATGGATGGACAATGGACTCTCTTTCTCATGCTGTACATTTGCTCTGTAAAATAAGTCAGCTGGTGTGAAGTGATCAGTATTTAAATGCAGGCAACAATCTCTGGGACTGAAAAATAAGCCCAAGTGGAAAGAATGAAAAGTGCAGTTCCTCAAATGATCGCTTGAGGCTCCCTCTAAATGTGGGTCAGTCCCCACAGATCCATCCATCCATTCATTATCTGTATACCACTTAATCCTCACTTGGGTCATGGGGGGCTGGAGCCTATCCCAGCTGACTTAGGGCGAAGGCAGGGGACACCCTGGACAGGTCACCAGTCTATCACTTAGAGACAGACAACCAAGCACACTCAAACTACGGACAATTTAGAATCACCAATTAAGCTCAACATGTTTTGTGGGAGGAAGCGGGAGAACCCGGAGAGAACCCACGCTGCACGGGGAGAACATGCAAAAGCAGAAAGAGCCCAGTGCCCCCACCGGGATGTGAACCGGCGACCTTCTTGCCGAGGCAACAGTGCTAACCAATTGCACCACGTTGCCGTCCAGTCCCCACAGATGCAAAACTTTACAGCAGAAATGGAAAAACTGTTTTGGTCTCCACTGCTAATTTCCTCATTCGTGACAACTGTACAAGGAGTGATTTTAACTTGATTTTAACTTTTGTTAAGGCTTAAAATTATGCATTATAAAGGATCCGCCCTACGTCCAAGTTATCTGCCTGCTGTAGCGTCGTGATTAGCAAGAAGCAGAAAAAATCATGAAAGCAAAAGCTCGACAGATCAAACTGTTTAGTCTGTAACAGAACAATGGCCATGTTTCCATAAAACGGTCAAAGGAATTTAAAGCAGCGAAAATAGATAAGAAAATTCAGTTAGATTAATATTTCATGCAGTATTTTTTTTTTCCACAAGGTGGTGCTGATTAACTTTTTTTTCTCCAAAGCTTAAACACCAATACTTAACTCATCTTCTCCTCTGTCACTATGTGCGGCAGGTGACCTGTAAGGTCGTGCTGATGTTTTCCAACTATTCCATCCTTGCGAATTACAGCTGGCTGCTGGCGGAGGGTCACTTTCTCTTCACCCTGGTGAGCCGCTCCTTCTTCTCCCTGAAGAAACACCTGGCCTGGTACATCGTCCTGAGCTGGGGTAAGGAGAGTGACAGGACATAATCACAGCCCAGTATCATCTCTGTGCCTTTTTACATTTAACCAAGATGTTTTTCATCACACAGGTTTACCGCTGATTGTTATTGTCTCCTGGGGGTGTGCTAAGTATTTTTATGAAGATGAGGGGTAAGGGGGGTTCAAATCTGGTTTGCACATTTATTTACAGCAATTACATTATCATATAGAATGCTTTTACAATTACCTCTCATTTCCTTGTCACAGCTGTTGGGAAACCAGGAGACATGAGTGGATTTGGTGGATTCTTCGAGTTCCAGTCCTTCTGACTATATCTGTAAAGACTTTATTCCCTTTTTTACTTACATTTACACACACACACACATACAGCTAATCAGCTGCTTGTGTTGGCTTCATATTCAGCAAACATATATAAGAGAGGTATGAGTCTTTACATTTAACACACAACTATGTACATTGAAAATTTGAGGACTAAATGCTGGTTTTATTCCTTCAGATGAATCTCATCTTTTTCTTGGGCATTTTGGGAATACTGGTGAGCAAACTCAGAATGCCAGATGCACAGAGGAGTGAATTCAGCCAGTATAAGTGAGTAGTTACTGTTGCATGTCATGTTGTATATGTAAAAGGCAGTGTATTTGGGGAAAGTATTGGTAAGGGAATAAAATTGTTCCTATTCGCTGTTTATCCAAGCAGGTTAGTTTTACAGGGCAGAGGCAAACACAAGGATGCTGCAGGAAAATACCTATTCAACAGCAACCTGCTATCTGAAGCTAGATGTTTTCGTAACAACCTTTCAAGCGTTCTTGTAGAGATTGTAGAGCCTTCAGTCGAGATGGTTTTAGCAAACTAGCTGCTGTCAGTACAACAATTCAGATCACAATCACAGAAATAAGTGCAACAGATGGGAAAATTCTTTTTGTTTTTCTTTCCTCAGGCGACTGATCAAATCCACGTTTTTTCTGGTGGCTCTGTTTGGTCTGCACTACATCCTGTTTGTTTTCTTACCTGTTCAAGTCAGCAGCTCTGTGTTTAAGATATGGACCTTTGCAGAGCTGGCTCTGTCCTCCACACAGGTAAAATCACACGTATGTTTAAGAGACACACATCATCCAAGAAACGACAAACACACTCTGATGTTTCTCTCCTCACATCTCTAAGGGGTTTGTGGTTGCTGTCCTCTACTGCTTCATGAACGGAGAGGTAGGTACGCTTTTTAGAATGAATAAAATGAAATGTGAGTTCCTGAAGTGTGTCCCAAATTGGGGATCTATGTTCCTTTGTGTAGGTGCAGCATGAGATTCAGAGGCGGTGGAAGAGGTGGAGGCTGACTCAGCCGCTGCCCAGTCGGCGTAGGCAGCAACATGGCTCCATCAGCCACAGCGGGTCTCCTCACACTCAGGTCTCCCTGCTGCCCTGTTCTCCAGGCAGCCCAACGACCAGCGGACTCCCTGTGGACACTGTGGAGATGTGATTCCAAGTGGGATTGGCTCGTTTTCTCCCCTTTGCTACATAATGGACCGTGGCTTAGTGCTGGCAGTCAGTTGGTCCTGCAGCTTGAGTGTTTAATACAGCAGTACTATCAATTGGTTTGTTTGGTCAGTACTTCAGTTTATTTTCAGCACTGAATTAAGAGGCACTGCAGCTTTGTAGTATTTAGTTGCTCTTCACTGCAGCTGGATGGTTAGGGAGATAAAGAGAAAATTGTTGTCAAGCTATCTTGACCTTTTGTAATTAGAACGTCTAAAACACTAGCTCCTACATTTCCCATAATGCAATCTGACAGCTCTTTTTCGTACATCTGAATAAATGTCTTTCAAATGTAATGCCTCAAATTCATCACTTTCTGTTAAAATATTTTAAAACGTTTCAGCCCAGTCTTTTAGACACAGTGACATCCCCACATTTATTTTTCTCAGACGTCCTCGCCCACAGACACGACATCAATCACGACTGGTTGTGGCAATTAAACTGATCATTTTGTGTAAAATCGCTAAAATACCCCTTTGAACACGGTAAACTTTTGCTAGGATAAGCCAAACATCCCCAATATCCTGATGGCAGCAGTATAAAATTGTTAGGGTCATTCTTGTAAATTTCTCCAGATCAATTAAGTTTATCTTATCTAATTTTTCCACTTGACGAAGCTTCTCCAAAGCTACAGTGCACATAAACTCCTTTCCTCCAAAAACAAACCTTTGCAGGCTGGATATACAACAAACATTATTCACCATTAACTTTCAGTCAAACAAAGTATGTACATCTAAAGCAGGGGTGTCCAATCCTGGTCCTGGAGGGCCACAGTCCTGCATGTTTTAGATGTTTCTCTCTTCCAACACATCTGATTCAAATGATCAGCTCATCATCAAGCCCTGCAGAAGCCTGATAATGATCCCGATCATTATCATTATCATAAACTAATTAAAAAATGTGTAATGTGGCAACTGTGGTATCTGGTATTCCATATCATGGACTTTGAAGTGGTCCCCAGGTAAAAGGTTACACCTGGTTTGGTATTTATGGGCCTTAAAGATTAAAGATTGGAGTGACCAAGGTAAAGATTGCTGAAGGAGGGTCATCACACTGTTTAGAGAATGGGACTCCCCTTAGTTTTACATAAACAACTCCCCTATATAAGCCAATGGTTACGGTTGGTCTGGAGGGTGATTCTTTTGGGCTTTGAATCCTCTCACAGGCGTCTGAGATATTGAACTTGTTTAAATAAACTTCTTTATAAATCAACAAGACGGTATCTGCGGAGAATTTCTTCATCATCTTCACATTATCACAACTGATCAAGTGAGAAGTTGGGTCATTTTCTCAAAAACCTCCGTACAACCAGGCTTCTTTTTGCAACCAGAGTCTCCCCCTGCTGGCTGTTAGGGAGAATGCGGGTTTCAAGGCAACTCCTCTTTGGCTTCACTTTTCAAACCCAGATGCTGTATTAATTTTTTTTAGAGAAACAGCCAACGTCTGTGGGACTGAGGCCGTTTCTTCCTTAGATAAAAGCAGCAGGTGTTGAACTTCTGGGACATTTTACTTACGAAGTGGACAACAGAAACAGAAGTCTTAAGAACAAGTCTTTATTTTTGCCAGTAGTCATGTATACAGATGCTCTGAGTGTGTCCGCGTTTAAAGGAATAGTTCAGAATTTTAGGAAATGTACTTGTTTGCTGGTTTTTGTGAGAAACAAGTAAATTGATGACACCTTGATGTCTGTATGCTAAATATCAATCAAGAGCCAATGGGGGCTGGTTGCACCAACAGGGCTTACAGGGGAAACACAGATTAACCTTGTGACTAGCTGTTTCCTGACTGGCAACCTGTCCAGGGTGTCCCCTGCCTTCGCCCTAAGTCAGCTGGGATAGGCTCCAGCCCCCCCCCCCCCCCCGCGACCCGAATGAGGATTAAGCGATGTATAGATGATGGATGGATGGACTAGCTGTTTCCTCCACCTCAACTTTTAATGCAAAGGTAAGCTAAATGCCTGCTGGCTTTGGCTTTATAACCAGCAGACACACATACAAACATGCTTTCAGCAAGAAAACTTAAAGTTCGCAAAATGATGACCTGTTCCTTTAAATGCCGGAAATGAATCAAATTAGCATCGCTCTAGAGCATGTATACTTAAATATTGCAGCAACATGTCAGATAAGTTCTACATCTGTTCTATTTTGAAGTAAGAACAAATGTAGTAAACAAATGGGTGACTTGTTTAACTCATTCCATATTTTTCCTTGAGACGGTCCACGAATGTCACATATTCAGCCATTGCCTTCTCCCTGGTCAGACCTATTGGTAGAGACACAAAAACAAACAAAGCATTTGGTTTTTTGCAGCAACAATGTGATGTAGCCAAGCTTAGGTTTGGAATGTATTTTTAAATGCAGACTGTTACATCTTTTTAAATGTAGTCTTGGTGAAGAATAATCTTCCCCAAAATTACATTTTTAAATGTAAAGGTTTTGCAGTATGTTATTTTTAGCTGATTTATGGAGTTTTGTTTCCTTTTCCTTAAAGGAGCCATCATTCTGACCTTTCTTTGCAAACCAAGCATCCCATTTTGCTTTTCCTGCCAGGTCCAACATCCCTGGACGTTCTGTGGATAGAAAAGCAAACATCAATAACACATTTTAAGTATAGTTGTGTTTTCTCGAACAAGGCCATACAGCAACATTTTAACACTGTATCAGAAATGGAAAGTAAAAATGACACAAGTACGTATGTGTAATGTGACAAGAGTCCCCGAATCCCCCCGTGACTGTTTCATCTTGGTTATAGCTCCCTCTGAGGTCATGTCCTGTGTGTTCCCTGAATTCCAGGAATTACATTTTACAATTACAAATGTATATATGATATGCATTATGATTATGTCTAGACTCAGCATATTTACATTTTAGTAGTTTAAGACTAATGAACAAGAATGTTTCAGAATTGTAGACTTTGAAGTCACATTTCGGCCTTGATGGGAGATAAAACACACATTATTGAAAATATATATAATTCTCTAAAAAATTCTCTCTTTCATGATTGTGGCGTTTACCAAATAGAAATAATTTTGGAAATCCTACTTGACCTCGAACAGGAAAAGTTTAGTCACATTTAATGTCAGACAGTGAAAAAATAAAGGCGACGTGTCTTTTTATACAGTGTATATAAACCTCTGGTTTCAAGTGTATATATAATACTATGGCCATGACAACAACACACTATATTATTGTAAATGTATTTATAAGGCATTAATCTGTAAGCAGCAGTGTTGCTGGTGGAGCGAATGTAACTTTTTTTGTTTGCTTTAAATCTCTAATGTTAATCGGTATGGTAACTAAAGCTGTACATTAAATGCTGTGGAGCAGCATGAACGGGGAAAAACAAACAGCTCAAATGTGTACTTAAGTTGAGTACTTCAGTAACAGTAATTAGTTACATTCCACCATGTGTAATGGGATCCTGCATTGAAACACAATTTTAGATTCATCTATTTGAAATGAGATTCTGGTTTTGTTTTTCTGAGCTGTTTTTGCTTGATGTCTGCTCATGTAGTCATGAATAAGTAATGTTTTTAGGAAATACTAAAGATCTGAAACTAAGTTCTTCATAAGCTTTGCATCCCTTATTTATAATAAATAAATAAAAAACACATGCCAAGCGTCAATAAAAGATTTTTGCGAATAAGAATGCCAAGACACAAGACGCCCACGTATAAACGTATCAGTCTGGGCATCAGTTATAAAATGACACCTAACTTGTTGGACCTCATTTGTTCCCACCCCACCCTCTTTAACGTCTCCCTTTGCAAAAGTACAGATAACTCTGGACACAGCAGAACAGTCACCTTCGGTGTTTCAACATTTTCAGTAAAGTTACTCACCAGTGTTAACATCACCAACCGTGGCTTGTTTGTAGAAACCATACAGCTCGGCCATTTCAACAGGTTGTAGTGGTTTCCCTATGTACTTCACCTCCTCCGCTGCCTTTTCAAAGGATTCCTGCAAGATGAGACAAAATTAATTAATCTCCATCTGCCCTATTGTGCAATGCAGTCTTATCCCATAATTACAACACAGATCTCATTAAAGTTTCATGAACTGGGCGGCGGTGGCTCAGGTGGTAGAGCGGGTTGTCCTCTAATCGCAAGGTTGGTGGTTCGATCCCCCGCCCCTCCACAGTCGAGACACCGAACCCGAAGTTGCTCCCTTGCATGGCAGCTCTGTCGCCATTGGTGTGTGAATGAGAAACGCAAAATGAGTGCCGCAAAGGTAGAAAAGCGCTTTATAAGTGCAGACTATTTACCATTTACAAATCTGTGCACATGTAGAAAGATTCCAGCTCCCCAACAATCTCACTGCGGCTACAGACAAGTTAACATACCTGAATACCTGAGAGATCATTTACTGACACCATACACCTTTGGTTGAACATTACAGAAAAGGTTTACATTCAAAAGTGTTCATACTTACGGTCATGACTGCAGTGAGAAGCTGACACACCTTGTTGCTGCTCTGCTCTTCAGTTGGAAATGAGTGCTGGTCCAACTGGTCCTACAAAGATAATGCTGGTAGGGAGGGTTGCTGAGGAAAAGAAAGTGGGAGGTGGTTAAAGTCAGTGGCGTGAGAAAAAAACTGCTGGAAACGAAGACGAATAGTTTACTAATTATTGCAACATCTGTCATTACATGCACTCCACAGAACAAACCTTAATTTTCAAATGCAACCGTTGCCTATGATGAAGAAACTCTTTTCCTTAAGATCATGGGTGTGCCATCCTGGTCCTCGACGGCCACAATCCTGCATGTCTTCCCTCTTCCAACACACCTGATTCACATGATCAGGATCGAGATCAGGTATCTGCAGAGCTTGATGATGAGCTGATCGTTTGAATCAGATGTGTTGGAAGAGGGAAACATTTAAAACATGCAGGATTGTGGATTACCAGGATTGGACACCCCAGCTTTAGATGGCCACCACACCCTTTGATTCCATCACCTTCATGTGTTCTCCTACCTCCTGTCACTGAAATGTCTTTTTCTCAAGTACAGTTGTCCTCCAATTTATTCATACCCTTTCATTAAAGAAAAGGCAAAATTCACAATAGTCATTCAAATAACTGAAAAAAGTGATAATAAATAAAAATTTGCTAAATTATAATTTAGTGAAATACGACATTGCTTTTGAATTGTGGTTGAAAAGAATAATTTAAAAAAACAAACTGTCTGATAAGCAGTGGGCCAAAATCAAAATACCTGTCAACAGGTGCAGAAGTCTGATTGAGAGTTACAGAAAACACACCAGATTTTACTTACATACTATATATACATATACACACACACTTTCTTTCACCTCACACACATCTTTTCTCACTCACATGCCCCAATGCTTCTTCCTTGTTTAATTTTGTTCTATGTTCTGTTTATGTGTCTGTTTGTGTCTGTCATGTACATGTGTATTTGTTCCTGCCGGCGCCTCTTGGCCAGCTCATGTTTGCAAATGAGAACATTTCTATCTGGTAAAATAAAGGTGAAGGGTTGTTCAACAAATTATTAGTTTATTGCTGCCATTGTGCTTGTTTTTATAGTTCTGTTGAACCACAATTCAAAAGCAATGTCATGATTTTCATCAAATTTTTTAATTATTATTACTTTTGTCAATTTCAACTTATTTCAGTGACAGCTGTTTTTTTCCTTCTTTAATGGGAGGCTATGAATACATTTGAGGACGCCTGTACCTGATGTGTTGTTGCAGAAAAACACCACAAGATGGCAGCATTCACATATGTGAAGATGTGATGAGTTCATTGCTGTTGCACATTTAGGTTTTTCCCTTCCGTTGTGAAAGTGGACATGAGCCAAACAATAAAGATATATTTTAGTTGAGGTTTACACCCATTTCATGAAGTTGATCAAATCTCCACAACCCACTGAGTCCCACTTCGGCAAATATTGAAAACATCTGATAGTGAAAGAAACTTTTGTACAAAGAATACTTTATTCCAACATCGAGAAATTTCAGATATTCCTGCCTTTATGGTTACAGACGCAAACTCCAATGTCAGTAAACTAATATCAGAACATCTTAAGTTTGACTCTTCACATAACAGAAAATCACCTTTGGCAAGAACACAAAAATTAGAAAATACACATTAAACGTGGAAATGCTGAAATCACACGACAGCCCGACTGTCTCTCTTGTTCAGAGCGGAAACAGCAAAGAATCACGTAACAGCACGGAGATTTTTAAAGTCAAAGAGCGTATTGTTTGATCTATCAGCAGGTTGGAGTAGTACAACACTAAACGGAATAGTAATGTATGTTAAAATAACAACAACAACATGCGCACAGTCACCTGCATTCGAAAATGCAACAACGCCCACAGCAGTAACGCTTCAGATTTTGGGTTTCCAGTTGGCACAATATGAACAGCATGAGAAGTAAGGGAACGTACTAAAATTACGAGCAGGAAGCTGGTAAGATAAGGAATAACCTTTTTTAAAATCTTAACATGTCCATAAGGTGTTTTCTATGCAGTAGAAGACACATCATGGGCAAAATAAGCAGTTAACGTCAACAATCTCAAAAACATGAGACAAAAAATTTAACCTAAAGAACCAACCCTGTCAGTTTGCAGGTTAAGGCTTCCTCTAACATTAGTCTTCTCCAGAATTTATAGTTTGAACACGTAGGGCTGAATTACTCCAACAGTACAACTTCATAATGTGTAGCACTAAGTAGTTTGAGTGCTGGATAACAGTTGTTGGTGAGCTGGTGTGCTCGAAGCAACAACTGGGAAGGAATTCTTTTCATTGGGCATTCAATCAATGACCAGAGATGGACTTTTAGCCGTCAGAAAGATTTGGAAATCGGGGTCTTTCTTTTTCTTTTTTGTGTTTCTCATCTAAAAAAAAATTAATCTTTGCACGTAAAAACCGAACTGCCTTACGTGAAAAACGAGAGCTTGTCGTCAGCTTTGCGTTGGGCGGCTCTTTGAAAGTTGCAGTAATTTTTTTTGGGAAAAGGACATGTTATTTATTATACACATTTCTAATTTGAGTGTGTGTACTGGGAGCACATATAGTGAAAATAATGTTCTGTTATGATATTCAGTGTGTAACTTTGTCTTGTTTAATTATAAATGAGTTGAGGGTCAGGTCAAGAGGAGGATAAGTAACAATGCTGGGAAGGGTCTTGCATTTTTAAAACTGTCTCCCAATCGCAGTAATTGTCCTACAGTGCCTCACAGTTTAAGTGAATATGACAGCACATTGGATTTTCAAAGTATTGCCAAAGAAAATGCCAAAACAAATCAACCTCACAAATACAAAACGTGAAACCACGTCGGTTTGTCCTCAACATGGAACAAAATGAACTTCAAGTGCAGGCAAATAATACATGAAAACAATCATGAGAGGAATGAGGAAGCGAAGTGGAAAGCCAAGTCTGCTACTGATGATCGGAGTGAGGAGATGGTATTTGAAAAACTCACTTATGAACCGATATTAATTGAAAGGACAATTGTTTAGCGGGTTCATTAAAGGCATAACAGCTGCCGTTTGGCGTTAAATTAATCCAAAAGCTAATACTGTTCTTCGTTTTTGGACTGATGCTTCAAAATAGTAACAGAAAACAATAAATTAAAGTCATTATTGACGTTGCATAGTGCAATAAGGTTGGTGACCTTCCTCTACTGGCTAAATATGTCTTCCAGCTGATTTGCTGAGAAACAACTCTCCAAAAGCTAAAGAGACGAGCCTTTAATACATTCCAACAGCGCATAAATCTTTTATCTTCTACGTGCTTTGCATTCATGAGCACACACCTGAAAGATTTCCGATTCCAACACCTTTTGATTTTTTCCACACACCACTAAAAACTGTGTTTCTCACACATTGCTGACATCCTCCAGCCCGTTTCGGCAGTCGTCGTCCGGCAGGATGAAGCGGATGTGTCGGCTCTTCTCCCAGCCGCGGCGGATCTGTCTGAGCCGCAAGGCCACGCAGGGCACGAAGAGAGCCAGGCGGCCCAGCAGAACTATGAGGGGAAGAATCAGGACCAGGACGAAGGTAGGAGGCAGGTAGAAGCGGTACTGTTTCGGATCGAAGGCTCGATTCCAGCCGAAGAGGAGCGTGTGGACGGTGGCCATGGACAGAGCACAGTAACCTAGTGTGGACTGTAAGATAAGGAGTCTGATGAAGGCATTTAAACTCATTTACAACATGGATCAGATGCGTGTAGTGTTCCCATCATTCCTATTGGCTCAGATATTTTACTCAGTAAAATGTTTTGGGAAATTTTTAATTAAAAAATTAGAAACGTACCATTCAAATCATTCTGCCCTCTAAATATATATGACCCACATTGTTATAAAAAAAAAAAAAGAAAAGAAAAAGAGAGAGAGAGAGCTCAGCCCGTCCACTACATTAGCTCACTGTGTTGGAGGCTACTGCAGACCCCGAGGAAACACACTGACCTACCACTCATGACCTGACTGAACACCACTAGTGTATGTGTGAGCGTACTCGCCATATACTGCGCCTTCAGGGTCCACTAATTACAAAAACTTCCCTGGGCTGACTCTGGTGGGGGCCAGGGGTTAAAAATAGCTCAATTTTTCCTTGTTTACAGACTTACTAGGCTGAGTGGACCAGAAATATTTCAACTTGACAAGAGCGATGACTTTTTAATCACAGTGAAATTACTAACAGGGAGTTTTTAAATTTTTAAATTGCTGTTATATATTTATACAATATTATATATTATTGTTATGGACAAGAAAAACAAAAAATACCTGCATTGCCATGGTGTTTCTAGAGAACAGTCATTTAATATTTAGTACCTGCCTATACTAAATTCAATAGCATTTCCTAGATAAAACACACTTAAAGTATCACTGTTTATTACTGTAGCAACCAGAGGAGGTCAGTAGTTGTATGACATCACTACTTAAACTGATGCACATCTTTTGTTATTTCTATAAAATAAATATTGTTATTGTGATATGTTACGTAAACTATCCTTTATTGAGTCTTCTTGTCATTGTGACATAAATAATTCAGCTGTTGGTTGAGAAGAATTTTACTTATTCTAACTCTCATGTGGCAAAGAAAGTTAAAACGCTACAGAGTGAGTTTATCAAAGCATAAATCAAATTGTTCATGAATTATAATCTCCGCTGCATCTTACACTGAAGTGATCATTACCGTGTAATGTGGTCAAACAGCAACTACTTCTCATGGAAACATTGGAGCTTTTCATTATGCTAACTTATGCTTCCTCGCGTCCTCTCTCCTCCTGTGACCCCGACTTCATTTCCCCTCCGCCATCATGGAGGAGCTTCCAATTATTTAAATGCACCTCGGGGAGAGGAGGAGAAAGGAGGCATCCGGGGGAGCTTAGAGCGAGAAGCATGAGACATCGTCCTTTAAGGAAGAGACGCCGATGAAGGAAGCGAACGTTGGACTACCGCAGTCGTTCACACAACCTGCAATTACAAAACTGCTATTTATGCATACGTCTGAAAATATATAGAACAATTTCCAAAAACTGTTATTTACTTTACGTCCTATGCTGCTGTAAACATAGGTAAAGTCTGACTAAAGCAATTATCTATACTCATAATGTGCACTGAACGGGCACTGCTCTGCCATAAGTTCGACTTTTACGAAGATTTTATATTTTCAGCTGTTGTTGACGTGATAATTGTGTTTATTATTGAGGTCATAGTGGGATGTTGGTGTACTGAACTGCATTATATGAATAGATACTTTTGATAGCTTGATATTAATGGAATAATAAAACAGCAATAATATATTTTATTTGTATAAGTTATTATTCTGCCCTGCGATAGACTGGCGACCTGTCCAGGGTGTCCTCAGCCTTCGCCCTAAGTCGGCTGACTCCAGCCCCCCTGCGACCCTAGTGAGGATCAAGCGGTGTATAGATAATGGATGGATGGAAGTTATTATTCTACAGTTGCTCAATGAGTCAAAAAAAAATAAAATGGATACTCCAAAATGCTAAAAGTAATGACAGTTAATTTGAAATGTGCAGGCCTAGTGGACAAGCTTATGCCTTCAGCAGGTCTGAAGTTGAACCTCAGTGTGTAACCGGTGGATTCTGAATCAGATTTTTGCTTTAACGCACACAATGACACAAACACTTCTCTCTATACACGCAGTCACATGAAGCACGGAGCACACATGAACATACTGTCCTAAGGCAATGGGCAGAAAGTTGCCTTTCATCGCACCGGCTGTCGGCACGTGACTAATCTGACGGCCACCGGATTACGGAAAGATGAAAGAGGAAAAAGCAGCACAGGCAGACTTGCAAGGCCTGGAAAAACTGGAGGCCATGATGGTGGGGAGGAGGAGGGGGGAAGTTAAGGCGCAAAGGACGAAGAGTGTGTCTGCGTACTGAGTCACAACACTCCTGATGGCTTTGTCACAGCACAAGTTTAACTGCAAATCTGGGGCAGCTGCAGGAGAGCAAACACTTGGAGTCACAGTGTTTATATGTGTGACTGCAAGACCTCCACTATATAGCATTAGAGACATAGTGTGCGTCTGTCTGCACATCAGTGTGACGCCTGTCTGCCTGCGTGTCAATTGTCCTGCCTGCTTGTGTGTCGTACGCGAGCGTGTGCGACTGTGCACCTGTACGAAGCTGAACTCCCTCCAGTTGATAGTATTGGCCACTGAGGGCAGCGAGGTGACAGCCAGGAGGGAAAGCAGCCCGAGAGCCATGATGCCTGCAGACACGTACAGCTCCATCCTCCACACGTCCTCGTCGACCCAGAAGTTCTCCACGCCAGCCTTGACCTGGATAACGCACAATATGACACAATCTGAACGTCGGAGAGCAGCTTGTCTATCTCAAATAAGACACTCATCACTATAAATATTGATAGCATGTCCATGGCAGATTGTCTGAGTGCAGATGACAATCAGATTTCTTAATAAATTGGGCCAGCAGTTTTTTGGCTGGAGCTCAAATATGCTGATGAAAGCACAACCGCACACTGATATTATCCATGTTGACACTTAATTAGTTCCGCTGTCATACTACCACTATTATTTGATTCAAAGATTCTTGGGTTACAGCCACCTTATCACTATGAATGTATTCAACAAGAGTGTGTAAACAGCTTTTTGCTTTGTTCCCAGGAACAGTCAACAAGTCCACACTCAACTGAGAAAAAGAGCTTTTGTGTTTGCTGCTCCCTCGGTAAATTCAAACAACTGCTGCACAAGTATATTCTCTCTGTTCTGGCTGCTCATGTTTGAGATACATCAGAATCTAGTTTTGTTTAAATTGCTTGTTTTATCGAGTTAGTTATTAGTTTCTATTGTTGTATTACAATTTTTATTCATCTTAATAAAGCTGCATTTATGATTCTGGATTTATGGATTTTTTTGTTGTTGTTATTTATCTGATGTTCTTTGTCGATAACTCGCTGCTATAGCTGCCTAATTTACCAACAACTACAACACAGATTTCCTGGTTCGTACAGTCAGGTTCAAAAGTATTTACATAGCAACACCATTTTTGTAATTTAACAAAAAAATTCCATTACTGTTTCAGATATACAGACATTTGTTTGTTCGGTCTCTCTACTTTTTACAAAAGTATTTGGACAATTGGCTGACAAGTTGTGTCATGGACAGACGCAGCCAGTTACATCTTTATTTTATGACAAGTTAAGGAGATTAAAGGCCTGGAGTTTACTGGCATTGATGCAAATGAAGGGTGCCATCAGTAGGCTGGACAAAAACAAACACACCTATTAGAGAGATACGAGAAAGCTTACGAGTTGCCAAATCAACAATTTGCTACATTCTTAAAAAGAAAGAATGCACAGCAATGTCGGGAGGTCACAGGAGATCAGTGTTGTTTACTAATGATGTGACCCCTCATAGAAGTAACTGGATGAATTCTGAGGTGTTTTACTTTCTACTCAGGTTCAGATTCAGTCAAAACAGATTGGACAGTACTTTGCAGTACTGATCAATAACAACCTAACACATATTGCAAAAGCTACCCGAGCGCTCCTGAGGGCAAAAACATTTACGATTTTTAAATAACCGAGTCAATCACCTGACCTCGACCCAGCTGAGCTGCTTTCCACTTATGGAAGACAGAACTAAGGGCAGAAAAACCCACAAACAAGCAGCAACTGAGGCAGAAAAAGCAGCTCAAGGGAAGAAACTCAGCATTTGGTGACATCTATGGGCTCCAGACTTGAGGCAGACTGCAAAGGATTTGCATTAAAGCATAAAAATGATCTTTTTTTTAATAATTAGGTTAGTTTGTCCAATTACTTTGAAGACTGTGAAACAAATGCCTGCAGTTTCTGAATCTTTCATGCAATATCTTTGTTAACCCCATTGAATTAAAGCTGAAAGTCCAAACGTCAATCGTATGATGACTGCAGATTCTAAATCCATTAGGAAAATAGTGTCACTGTCCAAATACTTAGGAACCCAACTGTACAGCTTTAAAGCTTAGACTAAATACAAGTGCAACAGTAACAACGTCTTTAAGACAATGATCAAAAAATCTAAATTCCCTTTGTACAACCTGACGGATTGTTCCTGTTTGCTAAACTGCACACATATCCTTCTGTTGGTTCATCTAACCTTTTTTAAAGCCATGTTGATCAGTTCGAAGCGAGCAGATTTCCTCATAGGAAGACACAGACTGTAAATGGTATGTAGCACTGCACACAGGAAGCTACACAACCCAAACTGCTTCCTCCTGGTGAGCCACTGGTCCAACCAGTTGGGGAAGCGTTTGTACTTGGTGCCCGACCACAGCTGGAGCAAGGCGGCGCACAAACCAGGCAGGTAGACCAGCGACAGCATCACCAAGGCCACAGAGGGAAGAGTGACGTTCACAGTGTCAATGGGCATTTTGTAGAAAGCGCTCTTCCCTTCTGTGATGAAGGGCTGCAAGACATCACGGGTGAAGTTGTACAGGTAGAAAAAGATGAACAAAGATAGCATGCAGAGGATGGGGATGCGCCAGCAGGGAAACAGATAGAGGGGGATGTTTTCAATCTCCAGAGCAGAGGAGAGGAGACCCATATCAATGGGGATGAAGCCCATCCTGTGACAGAGCTGCTTCACCGAGCTCTTCGCCTTTTGACTGTCACTACACAGGAAAACCTGGAGGAAAAAAAAACAAAAATCTTCAGAGATTTTCACTCCTGTCTGACACCTTAGTCGCATCCCATTTGCAGGCAGAATAATCACCTCCATAAAGCTAAACTATCAGAGCTGCCGATGTAGCCTACCTGCCTGCTTCCATCCCGAGGTCCGACCTGGAGCGCCCAGGCTGATATTGTGTTAAACGCTTTGACGACAAAACTCTCCGGAAAAAGATCGGCCAGCTGTTCAGCGATGGAGGGTCCTTCTCGGTTGATCTGCAAACCATTGCTAACGTCCACCAGAGTCTTTCCAGCCAGTGCTGGCTTCAGGTCCACCAGTGTGGAGTGGTGCTCAGGATACACAGCGACAAAGACCAGGTCTGCCTGGTTTGCTGCCTCCATCTGGGAGGTCACCTGGAACAGAGGAATCAAAACATGTAAGTCCTGTATAGAGGTTAATTAATTGAGGTTAATTGGTGATTCTAAATTGTCCGTAGGTGTGAATGTGAGTGTGCTTGGTTGTCTGTCTCTAAGTGTGGCCCTACGATGGACTGGTGACCTGTCCAGAGTGTCCCCTGCCTTCGCCCTAAGTCGACTGGGATAGGCTCCAGCACCCCCGCGACCCTCGTGAGGATTAAGCGGTGTATAGATAATGGATGGATGGATAATGCCAAATTACTAAAATGAGTCAGGAGGCCTGGCTCAAAACAGCAACAGGTTAGAGGGAGTCAGGCTCAGCCAGCTCATACACTGTAGAACCCAGATCTTCACTCCCAAACAGAACACAATACAACAGAAACTAACCTAACAAACAAAAACCACAAAAACTCAACCACTAAACCTCCGTCTCCAAAAGGTAGCTAAATAAAAGGCAACAGAAAAACAAGCAGGGTGACTAATGCAGCAGGAGGGCTGCTTTGTCCAAAAAAGCTTCAAGTTAGAAGACCATGTGACACTGCGCCATCAACATGGTTATATTGTTTTCGTGACCACTGGTTGGTGCGCTTTTGTGATTTCTTAATAGTCCATAATCGGAAGTCGAAAAGAAAACGTCTCATTCTATGTTAGTCAGCAGCGGGGATGATCCAACCTTCATGTGGAGGATAATCACTGGTGTCTGCAGCTACCACCAAGACAAGAAACAGCAATTTTTATAGTTTCCAAAACTAGACAAGGCATCAGGAGTACGCTCACTGTTTCTTCAATATTCAAGGGATTGTGTACTGAGAATTACACAGCATGGTCAGACTGTCGAGGCAGAGCTCTACTGTAACATTACAGGGTGTCTGAGAGAAAACATTCAGTGCAAACAACCTGAACTGTGAGGCCATGGTATGCGAGTACTCCAATGTACTGTGCACCTGGGGTTTTTCTGGCTACAACAACACAATCATTGCTCCACATCCTTTCTACTCACTAGATTTCATTCCCTGTGACTTTGACTGAAACTGGGATGGCAGGCAATTTTAAATCAGGTTTTTAATACTTACTGGCACAGTCCCTAAACTTTTAGATCACATTTTGTAAAGCTAAGGAAGCACTACTCATAAAAGGACTACTTTTTACTAAGCTAACAGCTCTGAGAGTTTAGAATGACTTAAAATATATTCAGATTCATTTCTATTTAAATGACTATACATGCGTTGACATACTGTATATCTTTCACAGATACCAATGTTTGTTTCTTCCTCATACATCCTGATGCACCAGAATCCTCAAAAGCTTTTTCCAGAAAAAAATTCAGCTGACAAGTCAATCAGGGACTACAACACTATGTATTACTATCTGACTGTCTGAAAGCATTTAGTGCTCACATTAGCAGATATTAACAGTGTGACAGTACAACAGGGCATCCTGAAAATTAATGCATGAACCACTTCAAACTGTTCCCATACAACAGCTGACTCTCATCTCTGACTACGATTATCTACATACGTATTCAGGTTAACAACAACAGTTATTATCCCCGGTGGGGAAAGTCAAGGGAATGTATAATTATCACCAGAAGGACAGAAACAAAAACACCAATTACATGGTGAGTGTGAATGTGAGTGTCAGTGCCGCTGTGTTTGTCACCTCGGCCTCCTCGGGGAACAGAGCCACAGAGCGTTTGGGGATTCGACTCCCCACCACCACTTGGTAGCCGGAGGCCACCAGCCTCCTGGCCAGTGAGCGAGAGAAGTCGCCCGTACCCAGGATGCCAATCACCGGAGCGCCGGGTTCAGACACAGAGGCTTCGAGGTGTCTGGAGCCTCCCCCTCCACCTCTCCCCCGGATTAAAGGCCTCGACATCTCATCAGGCATAATGCACTGACAAACCTAAAGAGAGAGGACTGGGTCATTATTCATATTATCTCCACTTTTTTAAAGTGTACAGTCAAGGAATAAAAAGGAGAATCAAAAGAAAATTCATTAGAATGAGCCCGAAAATGCATGTACTTCATAACATGAAGATATGAACAATATCCTAATGCTAAGGTTTGAATGACCAACAGCTTTCTATCTGCTAATTTTTATAACACAGAAGTCCTATTATTGCTGTCTCAAATGGCATGTCCCAGATCCTAACTGTGGACTGTCTAACCAATGAGTTGCCAGCCAATAATAGCATAAATGGATGTTATGCAGCCTAAATACAGTAACAGCTCGTTTTGTAGCTAGTTCTAGCTAAGCTGACTTCAAGTCAGATCCCATATTATTAACTTCTCCAGTCTGCCATTCATGCGAAACTTCATTCTGAACTCATGAGACTCTGTTCGGTTCTACACGCTTCCCGCTATTACCCCGCGGTTCTTATATTAGCTGTAAAAATAGAGAAAATATTCATTGAGCTGCTTCTATTCTCCTCCAGTTATGAGCCGAATTCATCAGAAAACGGCGACTGTTCAGAAACTGCCTCGGTTAACGGTGTGTCCTTTGCTAAAGCTGACCGGAGAGCGAGAAAACCTTAAAATTGCCAGAAATACATAAAAGTTCTGCTTCAAACAGGAGAGCGGGTTGAAGCCACCTTGCTTTTCGTCCTTGGCTGAACTCGTGGAAACTTAAGCTCCGAATAAAGTTATTCTCCTGGACACACAAGACGACGCAGGCACACACAGACGTACAAGTTGATAAAACAATAGCTTATACTACACAACGTGGCTTCTGTTAGTATGTACATGAGTGTTTTTACTTACTTCCAGCTATTTACTCCCTCCGCTCCTCCGCTCTCTGGAAACTGGAGCGTTTCTTCCTGATAAGATGACGCAGCGGTTGAAGCCACGCCCCCTCATGTGTGGAGGAGATAAAAGAGCGCAATGAGCCCTACAGATATACAAATGCATCTGTGTTGTCTGCAAATGTATCAGGAAACTACATTAATAACTGAAAGAAGGAACAGGAAGATATAAAACAGAGGAGAGGGTATCTGAAAATAATCAGAATTAACTCTACTACCTATTTAATTAAAGGAAAAAAAGGAAAACAGTTTAGGATGATTCTCTGACATGTATTGGAAACATGTGGGTCAAGTGGGAACGACACCTAAAGCATTTCCAATCTCACACATGAAACAGCCAGACTTCACAGAAATTCAGAGAAGGGGTACGAACAGAAAATGCCCTCCAACCACGGAGGGATTACTTAAAGGGTGGACCAGGCACAGGCCCAGAGGCACAAGTCCTGACGGTTCAGAGTTTCCGTTTGAAGTGACTGTTGACGGGTTTTTTTGTCAATCAAACCACCACAAAGAGGTGCAATCACTGACTCTGAAGTGGAGCTTGAATGGAGCGGACGTGAGCCATGGACTGTACTGTATCACTCAAAGCCCTTATCTATGCATCACTACCTAACTACACTTGTAAAAAATTCACCCTTGCACAGTGGTTACTAAAGGGAAAATTCGCCAGTTTCTTGCACCAGGCTGTAAATATGTTCATTTATGCTGTAAAGGAGGGCAATTTAACTTGGGGGCATCTATGAGGGTTGACTCACTTTTGGCATCTATGGGCCATTTGAGGAACTGTAGTTTTTGGCACTTTCACATTCATTTCTTTTTTCAGCATTCTTTGGTAATTATGACGACAAGATGACTCAAACAACCACAAAAAGACACAGACTGACTCAAAACAACTAGAAAAAGGCCCAACTCTACTGACATTTAATCAAAAGAGGTTCAAAATGAGTCAGAGCAACCACAAAAAGACTTGAAATTACTCAAAATAGCTCGAAACAAGTACAAAGAGATTCAGAACGAGTCTAAAACGACTACAAAATCACTCAGTTATAAGGGCACTCAGAAAGTGGCTCAGATTGACTCAAAAAAAATAGAAAAATGCCACTAACAACTAAATGGCAAAAAGAGTAAGAACAACTACAAACTACTGCGAAGAGTCTTAAAACAACAGTGAGACTAAAAACAACTACGAAAAACAGGGGACGAGACGTAACCCAACAAAAAAGAAATGCAAAAGGACACAAAAATGACTAAAACGAGACAGAAATTGAACATAAGTAGATACAAAATCGCTGCAAAGAGCCTCAAAATGACCACCTACATGCACAAAACCCTGAAATTCAAAATGCTATGTTGGTTTGTGTCTCCTTTTGTCTTGGTGTCTCTGTGTCCATAATTAATCCATGCTTCCTTCCTGTTACTACAAGCTAATGCTGAGAAGCGAAAACTGGCGTAAGGTATGATTTCTGTTAAGTTTCTTTCAAAATCTGGAGCAGAAATGGTGCGCCAGCAAAATAAATTTCTGTTTTATATTACGTAAGGCTGTGCTGGATTGTACCTAACTTCAGGGAGTTATTTAAAGAAACAATGATCAGAGACATCAGGGTAAAAGATTAAACGGCCAGGGGGCAGAACACAAAACAGAACAGCATCGGATCGCGCTGCCAAATTAAAGCTGCTCATGATGAAATGTGATTATTTATGGAGACACAGGATAAGATTTAAGCTCATACTGGATGCAACTCCAGAAGTCCAGCTCCACCTCACAATACTTCATCTTGAGCATTTAGCTCAGAGCGCTGCCGAGCCTCTGCACAGCTCACAGAGCTTCCAGCAGGACTCGATTAGAACAACAGTTTTGCGCCCCGATCGCTCTGATGAAAGATTTCTCTTATACTGTTATTGTAAATACATTTTTAATAATGAAGTCCCCTCTTTTTCCCCTGTTGCTGTATGCTGGCCTTGGGATTAGAATAAAAAAGTAAATTCGTGTTAAAAAGATGTCTGGCCGCGGGTCACACGCTGTCAACATGACTTCATCATGTCTGCCTTTGCCACTTGCAAAAGGTTGAATCCCTCCGGCTCGCTGTGCTGCATCAGTGTCACCACACACAAACATGCAGCCTCTCTCGCTCTCTCTCTCAGCCACGGCCTCATGTTTGTTTATAACGCTTAAGGTCACAGTCCTTGACATATATATTTGATTTTGAGATTCTTCATTCACGGGTATCGATTACTGGTGTCTCCTGGTGTGGTAACCCATTAATCTTAGAAGACAACTCAATGGAGGGTGTTGTGATCCAGTAGGACAGGCTCGGGTTTACTGCCTCGCCTAAAACAAGCCCGGTGACATGGATTCAAACCAACAAATACAGCCGGTGTCTCTTAACCTTTTCTGGTTTTTGATACTGTCTGTAATTAAACCACCAAACAGAGAGCAAAGCATGATGGCTTGGATGGGGAATATGGTGGCAGACGAGGGAAAGGCAAGGTCATAAACGCTTTGCCTGAGGTGGACAGGTACAGCCATGTGAACATCTGACAGGACCTCACTGTCAAAACGTTACGTGAACGAAAGCATTTCTCTCGGCGCGATCAAGGGCAGAGGTGTCTTCAGTGGCCTTCATCAAGGATTAGGGTCACATGTTGAGACAGGAGCTGATGTTGCAAGTTCTCAGCGCTGTCGTGTTGTAGTACACTGATGGTTTCCCCCCCACACGGATTTACAATAACGCCTTGTGACATTCCACTCACAGTAAGGTTTTGCTAATGAAAAACGAACGCGATTACGGCAAATGACCAATAATTCACCATGTAAATAAAAGTCAAGTCAAGGCACTGTTATTTATATGGCACATTAAGAACAACAGATGCTGAACCAACTCTTAACCACATTAAGATTCTACATTGTTATTTGTTATATAAATTGACCCAAGTCATTAAAATACTACTAAAAGACCCTAAAATATTAAACAATATAGAAATTCACCTCAGTAAATTTAAAATTAAGGTTAAGACTGCACAATATAATTTACTACGCAAATTCCCCCTACTGATTTAAATGTGAAAGTAATTTTTTAAATACTAATTTTATTTATTTTTTCTCCTTTATTGAGTATTCTACTTGAATTCTCATTAATGCTTATGCATTATACATGCATTGCTTATTCTGTATTGTGTATTATGTAGTTTGAGATAAATAAATTACACTAAACTATTCACCGTTTATCATAAAAACATATTTAAAACAACAGCTGTTGAGCAAAAGTGCAGTACAGAAATAAGACTGACAGCAGAAATGTGTCTAACAAGTTGTGCCGCCATAGCTCACCTGGTTGAGCTGGCGTCCCATGTATAGGGGCTACAGTCCCCGATGTGGAGGTCATGAGTTCACATCCCACTCATGGTCCTTCCCCCATTCTGCTCCCCCACTTTCCTGTCTCTCTCTCTCACTGCACTATCAAATAAAGGCAAAAAAAAAAAGGATCTAAGAAGTTTAAATGTTTAGGTTGGGTTAAATTAATCTGAGGAATGTATATATAAGGGTCAAAACTATATAACAAAATTAAATCCTCTGATTAAGTTTAAGACAACAATATGGTCAATTAAGTGAACTAACCTGGTTCATTAAACTTTTAAGTTCTGGCGCCTACAACATTATATGTAGTATAAATGAACCTGACTAACTTAAGTTAGTCTTAAGTTAACTTACAAAATTATACCTGTATAACCCGACAAATTCCGCAATCCCCGATGAGCACCATATTGGCGATAGTAGAAAGGAAGAACAACATTCTAATAAAAACGGACCTCCAACAGAACCAGGCTCAGGGAGAACAGACGTCTGCCTCGACTGGTTGGGGCGAGGATGGAGGTGAAACAGAAAAAGACAGCAGAGACACAATGTTGTAGAAATGCTTTCCTGCAATGCTCTGGTCACCATTCAAGGTTTATCAAACTCATTTTTGAGAAAGATGCTCATTGTTGTGGCCCTGACAGCTCAACCTGTACAACTATTTTAAAGTGTTTTCAATAAAGCAACTGAATGTAAATATATTGCACTGCCTTAAAATTCAGAAATAGCCTCAAAAACTGGGTTCAATTTCAGGAAAATCTTAAGGATTTCACTTTCACATATGCTCAACGTGTTACCCGCATTCTATGACTTTACATTTTGGAAATATTCTCCAAATGTGCTGTCAAATTCAGGAAGATAACTTCCTAATTTGCATCTGTTTCCTTAAGCGGTTACAGTCAGTCACCATATTACTCATCCCCTTTTTATAATTCCTTCTATGATATTAAATAAAATCCACTCAAAAACCAGTTTGTTGTTTCAGCTTTTTATCTGATTAGATCCAGTTTAAAGGCCATAGACAGCAAATGATGAGCTAATTCATTCGTCTCACCGTATGTTCCGCGGCAGTGCGCTAACATGCAGTGTGATTAGAAGCATGGCGTTGCCGCAGGCCTGAATAATCTGAGAAGCTGCAGTGCACAATGTGGACAGTGTGTCGTGCATGGCTCACCATAGCCTAAAGATACAGTTCACTGTACTAATCCTGAGTAAAGGTCATTTCTGCAGTCATGTAGCAGAATCAGGGAGCATAATGTCCTCTGTGTGTCCCTACTTCTTTTTAGGGGGATGTGTTTCGTACTTCATTATTCCATTGTTCCTTTTCTGTAGGTGAAAATGTAAAACAAGACAGGACATTCTCAGCTTGCCCAGGACGGCCGCATCCTCAAAATTTTAACCTCAATTTCAATTTTTTGACCCGGCTCTCCTGACTTGCCCTGCTCTCCCTCACCTTCAGACACGGGCAGCCCAGCTGGAGCCATGTTCTGTGGAGTTAAATTCGAGCTGAGCACAAGCTGAAATTGGTTGGGGGGCGGAAGCACAGGGGCTTCAGCTAAGCCTCGTCTTCAGCCTCTGAAGATTTCTCCACATCACCTTGAGCTCTAAAGCCTCTGTTGTGGATCTCTGTCCTGTGCACCAATTCCAGGTGCTTAGCTCCGTCGACCTGCAGGTTTTGAAGTATTTCAGGTCCTTCGGGGGAAATTTTTGTGGAGAAAATCAATAGGTGCTTTTATTTTGAATGAGCAAAGGCTACCTTTATTGAGTGTCTCAAAAGCTGGCACTCTTTGGAAATAACCAATGAATGGCCTTAATAATAGCCTTATTCAGCTTTTGTGCTCACCAACAACATAGTTAGAACTAGTGCACATGTGGCCTCACTGGAACAGAAACAAAAGTGGCTGAAGAGGTATTTAAGACAAATCTGTATGCAGCGGAGTAATGATTGCCTGCGCACAGCAAGAATTTCAATTTGCCGGAGAATCTAAATTCAAAGCCTGTGGCACTCCACCTCGTGAAACAAGACATCAAATATGTCCCTGCAGCCACAGGGAGCTTGGAGCTGAAGGTGTCGACAGCCGTCAGACATCTGTGGTCCGCTCCCTGCATTTATTAACGGATACCCCTCGTCTGCTTTTCCTTACCCCAGCCCACCCCCCTTCGTGTGTGTGTGTGTGTGTGTGAAGTGACCAATGCAGTCGGTCACTTGATGTCACCACTGTGAATCTGCCCTCAGCCATCCAGCGTGACTTTGAAACAACCCTGAATGCTCTGCGTCAGATATTTGCTCATGTATTTAGCAGCTGTTTTCACAAGTTTAGGCAAGTCATTAAGTCTGACTGTATACCCTGTAATCACTAGTGTCCAAAATAAAAAACAACAGACATCTTTAATTCATTTACATTTGCACATCTAGGATTATGCTCCTTCTAAACGTCTGCAAAATCCAGCGTCACAACATGGATAGAATAAATGAAGCCCGAGCATGTAAAGACATACATTTTCAAGATTAGTGGATTAGCGGTAGATTTAAATCTAAATCTTTCCAATAATTCGTCTCAACAGAGGAACTAATGTGTTTATCTCAGAAACCAATAATTTCCATGAATGAGGAATGAATGAATATATTGTGACCTTAATGTATTCCAACTCTGAGAACATGCGTAGACGGCTTTATACCTTTGAGATTTGTGAAAATAAATATGCAATCATTTGGCATTTTAACACTGCGTATGTATGCATAGATTGATCGATTCAATATCCCAAGACTGGGATGTTTTTCAATCTGTAAATATTGCCCTTTAGAATAACAATGTACAGACTTAAACTTTATGCACTTATGCACCTTGCTTCTTTTGTCAAGTCGATCAAAACCAAATAGAAGGGATCCTCTTCCACATTTAGAAATAAAAGCTTCAAATTGAAAGCATGCACGTCCATATGTGAATATTACTTGTAGTAGTTTATATTTATAGCTGGAGAACAAGCGTAGGGAAGTAATGACACAGCATAATGTAGCTGAGTAAAGTATAAAGTAATATAAAATGGACAGTTGCAGGAGAAGTACTCGGATGTTTTTCTTCAGGTATTGATACAATAGTGTACAAAGACTGATACAGAAGAAGTAATGTGTCTGTCCAGTATTTTTTTTTTTTTCAGTTGATTAGCTATTGTCTCTATAAAATGTCAGAAAATTGCAAAAATAAAACTCGATCAGTGTGTCCTAAAGTCCAAAAATGATGTTTTGAAATGTCTTGAACACCTTAAAGAAAATAGGTTTAACATCATAGAGGAGTAAAGAAACCAGAAAATAATTACATTAAAGCTGAAATTTGGATATTTTTCTGTCATATTAAGTTTTTCTTATCAGGAGATTTTATTGTTTCAGCAGCAGTGACATGAATATGCATGTTTTTTCCATTCAAAAAATGGCAAATATATGTAAATTAATACTAACTGTCAATTGTAATACAGTAAAAATCTGTTATATTGAAGTCAGACATTGTAAAAGAATGAATACCATTCCTGAAAATACTGACCTTAAGCTCATCATCTACTATGAACAGTTTGACCTGTTTTTCTGTTTGCTTGTTTTTGGTTAGTGTGTAATTTATTTATTTTTCTGGGACTTTACTAGTTGTTATCTGTTGCTTACCAAAACAGGGAAGTCTATCAAATAAAAGGCAACTTTTTAAAAACTACAGTTAAAAAAATGGTGAAGAAAATGTAAGTTTTTTGTTTTTTTTGTTTTATTTTTATTTTTTACAGAATATTCTCCACGTTTCAGAATAGGGCTTTAATTTGAAGACTAAATCCTCCATGTTCCGGTCCTATCCTTGCTAACTTTGACAGCTGGACGCAGCTGTCAGCGCGCACCCACCCACCCATCCAGCCAAGACGCGCAGCCCTCTCCGGTCAGAGGCGCTGCCCAGGGGCTTGGAGACACCAATTAGAGCTGCTGGACTGAGTTATGCGCACTTCCTCAACTTCATCTCTTTTGTTTTTCTCTTCCTGAACCCCCCTATCCTCTGTCAAGATTCCCCCCCAGAGAGGCTCCACGGATTTGCTGTCGTCCATTGGTCCCCGAACAGCTCGGAGGAGGTGGTCGGTGGTCTTTCTGGTGACTGCCGTCGCGATGGTTCTGCTGGCTCTGGCCGTTGCTGTCCCGTTACTGCTGCTCCGCACCTCTGAGACCTCCGCTCATTACTACGAGATGATGGGCACCTGCCGGATGGTTTGCGACCCGTACAGCCCCAAACCGGGGAGCGCCACCGCCATGGAAGTGATCCAGAACGTGAACAGTGTCGCTCCACAGCCGCCGATGGCGCAAGGGAGCCGCGGGGAACCGGGGCGACCGGGGAAACCGGGACCTAGGGGCCCGCCGGGGGAACCAGGACCCCCAGGTCCGAGGGGACCACCGGGGGAACGCAGCGACGGTAAAGTCGCCTTCCCTGCAGTAACCGGAGCTACGGGGTCTGAAAACAGCGAAACAGACGGTGGGAACTCCACAGGAAGCGGTTTCAGGATCGCTTTTTACGTCGGTCTGAAGAATCCACACGAGGGATATGAGGTGTTAAAGTTTGACGACGTGATTACAAACTTGGGGAACCACTACGATCAGAGCACCGGGAAGTTCACCTGCCATGTGCCGGGGATCTATTTCTTCACTTACCATGTGCTGATGCGGGGAGGAGACGGGACCAGCATGTGGGCCGACCTGTGCAAAAACGGACAGGTATGATTGTCGTGAGAAAAACCACCACCGGGGAGCTGATAACAAACTGGAACCCAGTTTGAAACAGTAGCTGAGGGAACAATTCCGGGAACTGTCATGTTACGAAAACGACCAGAAAAATCCCAATGAGAGAGCTTCACCTTAAGAACAAGGTGGCAATACATAATTAGGTTTAATTAATTAAAAATATATGGACAAAATTCCATTAAAGACTAGGTAAACTTCTCATAATGTGTATTTTACGCACGAAAAGCGCACGGCGCGGCATTAAGCCCGTCATTTCAAACTGCTTGAAACGAGTTACATAACTGCGTATTCAACCGATTTATATCATTATGAATTCAGCATAACATCAGTGGTATTTCTGCTCGTCTCCAAGCCTGTCTGTGTGCTCTGTTTGGCAGCAGCGCTCATGCGTAAATCCCGTTTGGATGAGTCTTGTCTGCTCAGACATTCACAGCTCCAGTTGGATGCGGGGTCAGACAAGAGGCTGAACATCGTCAGTGTTCATTATAGGTGCTGACAGAGAGAGCAGTTCAAACTACGATAAGCAGTTGGGTCATGTTTTATTTTATATTCTTCGTCTTGTCACCCTAACTCCTCCCTAAATTTCCACGAGACGGTTTAAATTTAGAATCTAAACATTTTACGCACCACTGCTGTTTCACTTTGCCTCTCAGGTACATGTGAACTTTTCTGGTCAGTTCCTCTAATAGTCCCGTGGTTATTACAGGGCTTCTCGTTCTTTCTGTGTGTGTTTTTTAAAACCAGGTTCGGGCCAGTGCCATAGCTCAGGATGCAGACCAGAACTACGACTACGCCAGCAACAGCGCCGTGCTGCATTTGGACTCTGGGGACGAGGTCTACGTCAAACTGGATGGCGGCAAAGCTCACGGAGGCAATAACAACAAGTACAGCACCTTCTCTGGCTTTATCTTATACCCCGATTAAACCCACTGCAGCAGGTCCTTGGACAGTAATCATCTCTGAAAAATGTCTCCAGTAAACTACATGATCAAATATGTTTCTCTTGTTTTGCAGATAGGTGCCACATTGACAGACTTATCTGCAGTTCTGTTCATTTACTCAAATACCCTTTTGTACATACAGGATATTTATTTCAACTTGAGTTCAACTGGGGGTTGCTGTCATCGGTGAGATATCTTGAGAAAACTGATGTTCCAGGTAATTTAGAGCTCCCCATAACTGCCCTGGGGGGAAAAAAATGTTACATGGGTGCCCTTCTAAAATGCTTTGGGGAGAATAATACCAAGCCTTAAGACTTCATCACTGCTTTCCAGGCTGACAGGGTCTTACAGAGAACAGGAAAATGCAATGACATAAATGTGTAAAGTGAATGTCGGATAAGCTGATTTGAGAGTAGCCAGTAATGTTGGGCCTTGTTCACAGCAGCACTGGAACCAGTGAAACTGTCTGGCAAAATCATTTCAATAGGATTCCAGCAATAAGTGAATAAACTGAAGAAGGTGACAGACAAGATGCAAGAGTTAGAAGCCGTGTTTCCGTATATCAAATTTGTAAAATGTCACAAAAAATGTAACAAAAAGAAAATGCAAGTTAGGTTTGTTTCCATTAACTGCTTTGGAGTGATTAAACAAGATGGTGGTACAAGCTATGAATCAAACAAACAGAGAAGAAGAAACAAAACATATTTACCACAGAAAAATTGTAAAAATGTCTTGCTTTCAATTGGGCAATTTGCATTTGTTCTTTCATGTCAGCTGGCATTGGCTACTTTCAAGCTCAACTTCATCCAAAAAAATCTTTTATTTTGTAATTTCAAAAACCACAAAGCCAGCATATGAATAAATAAAACATATTTGGGAGGGTGAAATAGAGAAAGAATTTAACTTAATGCAACATGTTACAATGCACGTAAATAATACATGATGGAAACACAGCTAGCAGCACAGGTGCATCTTTGGAATAAGCTGTGAATTTGTTTTCCTGTTAGCAAGCTTGCTAGTTATCAAAACCCTAACAGATCCCTCCCTTAACGCTGTATTGAACTACATAATGCACATTCTCTGGGAACAAAATGTCACAAAAAACATAAAGAACCAGCACAGAGAAAACAGAAGAAGCTAGCTAGCATATTAGCAGTTAGCCTACTAGGGAATATGTGGTTCTAAAGGCTTGTATATATCGTACAAGATTTTAAGACCACATCTTTCACGACAGCCAGACGTGTAGTTTCACACTGACACTTCTTCGCTACTTTTTAAAAAAATTATTATTTTGAAAGTGCAGTTTTATTTATTTTATTTTCCCTCACTAAGAAGCAAACATGTCACCAATATGCATGCATGGCAAAATGGGAGCAACAACTTAAAGGGTAGGCCAACAGTTTTTCACATGCAGCTTCTTTTTTTTAACACTGACAGCCTCCTTAGATAAGTTTTGGAATATATTTTTGCACAGCACTTTGGATTTGCCCCCTTACACAGGAAGCCCGTTTGGAAACGATCTTGTAAAGGCCTCTGTATGAACAGAAGGGATTAATAAAGCAAGCAGTGTTCATATGAGTGTTGTGTGAAGACAGACCTGGAAAATGTGAATCTATCCTTTAAGCAGCCCTGCGTTATTTTGAAAACAGTCAGTGAAACCTGCCAAAGCTGACAGACTTATATCCTAATTGCATTAAGTAAGATTCAAAAAGGTCCTGCTTTGATTGCCATCGCGAGCAAAAACTGTGGTGCTTTGAGTAGTGTTCAGTGTTTCACACAATAACCAGTCACTACACATGGAAGATACAATCTGTACTATTTTGTTCTCATATGTGCCAATAAATACTATTTGACAAAAAGTTTGCTTTGTGTGAATATCTCTATCCAAATAAATCCAATGCAGATGCACCTACACCAGGTTTGAGAGGAGAAATTAAGCATCCGGAAGTTGTAGATAAACAAAATAAGTCATTTTCGTCGGCATGAGGAGACTGTCATTTATCTTCTGGGAGACATTTGGCGTTTTATGTTTCATTTAATATCAGAGCTGCTTCTGCCTGAAATCTGTCTGCACATATTTTATTCCGCCCTTGGCTGAAAACTGTTGCCTGTCTGGATGTGTTGCGTGGCGGCCTACAAACCTTTTCCCTCTATACCGAGTCCCTCAGGTTCCAGGTGCCTCCCCGAATGTCCTTTGCTCCGCTGTGGCTCGCAGACAATTTCAGTCAGCGAGCCTTAAACACAAATCTGCTCTCGTTGTTTACTGCAAACCACTGAAGCTGCATGTATTGTTAAAAATATTTGCATTTTAGTGTATTAATAGGAGGGACAGTAAGCTGGCAGTGTGGCTAAAGAGATCAGAGTAAATCTAGCGGTGGAAAGTAACTACATTTATTTACTCAAGTACTTACAATTGTGAGTTTCTTGTGCTTGAGTATTTCAATTTTCTGCTTCTTTATACTTTTAATCCAGAGGCAAGCATTCAAATGTTTGCTCCACTGCCTTCATTTGATAAGGTAAGTCACTTTGCAGATTTAGTTTAAGTATAATTGGTACCTAAAGTATATTTTGAGGATTATACTTTGGTACTTAAGCACCAATCTTTCTTTTTTAATTCTTTATCTACAGTACTTCTGCACTACGGTATGAGTACTTCCACAAGATCAGAGTACCTCTTCGACCTCAGATTCTTCCTTGTAAGTGGTGTGCTGATGAAACTTAAGTGTTCAGAAAGTCATCATAAACATCCTCAGATATAAACCTGAGTGGAAGCTGCCAGCTCCCGTGTTTCACTTTTGATTAATTTGTACAGAGATTTTCAGATGCTTTACCAGACTCCAAATACTGCTGTAAGCCTTCATTAATATGATGGCTGTTTTGTGTGTGTCTTAGATTTTTTTTTTTCCTCCTCATCCCCTCAGGGACACACACAAACCAGCTGTTTACACACCACTCCTGTCACTTTAAATGGAAATCATGGGAAACAAATATTAGCATGTCTGGTTAGATAAACCTCTATTAAGGTGTTGGCTTATTTTCCTGCGCTCTACAAACTAGCTGTGTCCTCCTCTGAGGGGATTGTGTTATTCTTGAGCTTCTCAAGGAGAAAAAACCCCGGCTGACAGTTGTCATTGCCACTTTTCTGATCAAAATTGTGAAGTGCGCATTATACGGAAAAATACCGGCGTCTGAGAGCCTAGCATAGTGTGATTACATTCATTGGCAATGTTCTATTGAATTTATAAAAATACATCATGTCAGACTTTCCCAGATGGAGAAAAAAATCCTCGGACTATATTTAGCTTGTTGAAAGGGTTCCTTATTTTCATTCCCATTTGCAAAAGCTATTTATCATCTTCCTTTGCTCTTAAACAGAGCTTCAGATTTCTCTTAAAGGAAAATTTGGTTTTACTCATCATCAATGCAGCGAATGCGACTTTGACTTTGAACAAAAAGAAACGAAACAACAGTAGAAGAGCCACAGTTTCAAAAAACCAGACGAGCTGCATCAGGTAAGGAGCACCAGGATGGTATTTCATCATTTACGTGGTTGAGCACTGTGAATTAATCCCCCCTGGGTTGGACTGTAAAGGCAGAGTTCTACCGAACTTCTTGAGATGCCTGAAGGAGAACATGTCGCGCACAACGACCCACACTGCGGCAAAATCAGTGTGACAAGTCCCCAGAGTGGCGACGGTTTTTTTTGACCACAACAACACAATCACTGCTCTCCAGCTACTCACCAAATTTGGTGCCCAGCGACGTTTTCCTTTTTCCCTGAAATTCAAGTTGAACAGCGGCCATTTTGACCATTTTGTTTAGATGACTCAGCATTTATATAAATGGTGTTTGACATGTTTACATAACAGGACTTTCAGAACGCATTACAAACGTTGCAGGAGCGCTGTGAGCGGTGTATCTCTGCACAAGAAGGCTACTTCGATAGGGATGGCGGTCAAATTTAAATCAGATATGGCTTGAGTTTTTTTGATGACATCTCTGATAGATGCTTTTTTGAGCGTGACATAGAAAGTCGCTGCTTCACGATTGTGGGTGACTGCATTAGATGCTACATGTGGGTCAGCTTACCTGCTAAACCACCTGGGTGTTGATCCCTCATCGCTGCATCAACGTTTTCCATGAGGCTCTACAACACAGATTTAAACACAAAGTCAGCATAGAGTCACAATGGCCCCACTGATGGGAAATAAACCTGGTTTATCCCACAGGAACTCTTCACACATCTATTTCATGAGGCAGGCGCATATCAAAAAGACCTTCATCAGGCAAATAATATGATGAAAAGCCTTGCCCCAATAAATGCATCTTTGCAAGTTAGACAAATATACAGGAGTCTGTTTGGAACTTTTTAGGTATACCTGGTTAAAATTTACTGTCATTCCCTAAAAGATGAACAAATAATGCCCTCAGACAGGCGGTTAAAGATGGATGAGGTCTGATATGCTTTATAGATCGTTTTGTATTATAACAATATAAATAGGCTCCATTCACTGGCTGTTTGAGAGGATCGGCGCTCAGATGGGTTGAGATGTGAACCGGAGCGATGATGTCACCAGCGGAGGTCTTTTAAACTGTTTAAAGATCAAAGCGTGATGGCCTTGGAAAGGCTCTCAGCCCCCATCGCAGACACATTTAGGATGAAAAGTGGAGCTGCTGACACCAACTGAGACATCAACAGCAGTACGTGTCACTAGCTGCCTGACGGATGCTCTCACACGCACACACACATATATAAGAACAGGATAGATGATCAAGCTGATCCATCCCCCTCGTCTGGGTGACAGTGAGGGATTGCTGACTGACAGGCGGAGTAGTGAAATCCTCTGATGGATGAGATAAGTGGGGCAAGGCCTCACACACACACAGTGTTCAGGAGAAAACAGCCTGACAGGCAGCTGAGCAACAGGCATCATATTGGAGTAATGATAGCATGTGTCGCCAGGCTGCTGTGCTCCGCCAGAGTTAGAGTCCATGTGTCACGGTGCCACCTTCATTAACCACGATCGCTTTAATTAATCTCTGTGATTATAGAGTTTAATCTAACAATGGAGTTTACACGGCAACACACCGGCATGTTACCCGAACACGTGTTTCCAGCAGTGAGGAGCGGTTTGCTTCGGTTGATTTCAGTGAGCGTCTGATTGCCAAACGGGCATGAAATATTGCAGCCGACAAGCTCTCTGCACAGGCAGCCAATCATCAGGACATTTTTAAAACCTCTCCTCATTCTTTCGCTCCACCGATTTTCTCCCTGCGATGATTGATCCATGTTC